TCTATTCGCAATACCTATGCAGAAAGGTTTTCCAATGTAGTATGTAAACATTACGTTCACTATACTCAAACACGACAAGCCGCGTCAGGGTCTACGTTGAATTGTCGGATACCTTTCCGACAATAACTGACGTTCGTCAGCGTTGTCCAATGTCCCCATTTTTGTTCAACGTCGTCGTGGAATCCATCATGGAGTGTTCCCTTGTGGAGCCTCACTATGCAGGCTGCGTGGTGACATGCTGTTTGATCTTCAGTATGCGGACGATGTTCTCTTGCTCATTAATGATGTTGGGGCAGCTTAGTTCACCCTGGAAAAAACTACTAATGGTCCCATTAGTTTGGATGAATTTCGCATCCCGAAAGTGCAGTTACAGGACCACCAACCACTTGATGACCCGTTGATCCTTGATGGCGAGGAACTCGAGGTAGTTGACCACTTCACTTGCCTTCGTTGCTGTATCAGCAACGATAGGCAAATAGCAACTGTAGTCGGTTCACGCATTGCAAAAACCAGAACTGCCTTTTTAATTTGAAACATCCGTGGGGTCAGAAGGTGGGTTTCCCTCAGTCTGAAAGGCCACAGTGTGGGCCGTCCTACATGGCCCCTCCGACCTGCGGCGTCTTCAAGTCTTTGATCATCGTTGTCTGTGAAGCATTGCTGCTGTCGGATGGCACCAGCGTATCCGCAACGATGATGTGCGTAGGCGAATACTAGGCAGTGATAACCAGGCTAGTTACTTAAAACAACAGATGGCACTGCATAAGTGGCATTGATCTTGTACAACGCATACCGAGGACAGTCTTGTTTTGTTTGTCAGATGTAAGTTAGCGCAGGGCCCGAAATGGACAAAAATTAAATTGGCAGCGTGAAATGAAATCATTGACGACCCAACTCGGTGTCGTCTGTCCGTTTCGCCTTCCAGGCTGGAGTCCACGTGACCCGCCTTGTGCTTGGCTCGAGACATTACAGGACATAGCTCGCCGTCGACACCAGTGGCGTGTCTGCTGTCGTCTCCTAGTCGGATTGCCTGTTTATAGTATGTCTGGTGCTGTGTTATCTGCGGGGTAATGGTTTATTGTGACGCGGGGTAGTGAAAGCCGCAAGTAAGCTGTCTCGTCGATGCCACCTTATCTCTGCAAAGATAGCCAGCTGTTTGTGATGGTATTTGGTTGACAACATGTAGGCGCCTTGACTCCGATTGTTTGTGTAGGTCATCAAGGTCCTACCGTAGGTCCCCTTCTCTCCCTCTCATTATTCTTCGTTCCGTACTTCACCATGGTTGTACGGCAGCGTAACATCAGTTCAAATGGCTGATGTATTGCTGTTGATCATGATCCACAAGCAGTAACCTAGAAATAGTCTGTTGAAGTGGTCACCCACAAACGGTATGGAGTTTTCGGTGTTTTGGTTAGGTTTATCGCAACCAGACAGTCGGTGCATGTTCGAAAAAGCACTATAATGGCACAACGATTCAAAAAAAGTAAAAAAAGGTAAGGTGGTCAGGCTAAATTTACCTAAATATTGAAAAGTTTACACCGGTAAACTCATCGAGGTGTGTGCATTAAAAGCTAAATCCATAAGTAATGACGACAGCTGTTTCCTCCCGATAGGTCTGGTTGGTCGTGCGCATCTTGCCCGAACGCTGTGTGGTTCCAAAGACGTGAACTCAGTTTGTACCTAGCGATGCATCTCGCCAGTCCGAAAGTAACAATCGCGAACCGTCAAGAGGATTTTTGGTCACCACACAACACGGTTCAGCCTCAACAGTTACGTATGTTATGAATCCTGCCCTCTGCACGCGCATGATATGCATAACTGGAAGATGAGCCCCAAATTATTACAGCAAGTAATCCGTAGTTCACCATCACTCATGGTACGGATCCGGGGGATTTATGCTGCTGATGAGACGGTGGTCTAACGTCTCCTTGGATGTGTGGTGGCTGTCGGACTGAGTCTAGTTGCGATAAATCTACTAAAGAAACCCTGCTAATCCTAACTATTCGGTAATCGCCCTAGCGGGTTACATGCGACCTTGATTGGTGGCAGCTTGCAAATTAAGTAGTAGCTCTGGGGGCGAGCCCTGTCCACTGCATGTATATAACATGCATGACAGTGAAGGATGAGCCGCGATATATCGCTGTTAAACATCCATGTTGGTCTGCGGCGGTTACCCAAGGCTCAGCGACATAATTCGCTGACTCGTAGGTGTAAAAACATGGGTACGGTTCCGGGGGGGGGTTGCTCTACTGACGAGTCCGAATAGGACAAAAAGGCCGTATAGCGCACTTCCGGATGCGCGGTGACTGTCTGGTAATAACAATAAAGCACATCGCAAAACCCATACAAGATGCGACCCCAGTGAACACACAAAGAATGCTCAGCGATTGAAGTACCCTAGTCGGACGTGCACAAATTCAAGCAGAGCAGCTTCGCGTTACCTGCGCAAGTTGCGCTAACGAAGCTACCAATTACTAAAGACAACTCAGTACCAAAGTATTCATGAAACCGCTAAACTGAGAAGTGAATCGTGTAGACCAAACGAAAGAAAATCGGTGCAAACCATATATTCACGAGATCAAAATATGTACGGCGACAAACCGATCTATGAACTAATAACCACTGTATCACATCTTGCAGAACTATTAATTCGGAGCGCATTTAGGATGGTAGGGGGAAACGACGACTACTGGCATCTGCCTCTAGCGATCATGGGTTCGATCCTCCTTGGAGGGAATGCGCACCAATGAGGAGCTTTCCGGACTAAGCTCTGCTATGTATCTTGTGAACTACTGGGGTGAAAACCTTAACAAAATGACGATTAACCAACGTTCAAGTGAGACCAAAAATACTGTGTAACTCTTATTGTGGTGGTGCGGAAGAATGGAAAGTCACAAGAACAGAAACAGACATCATGGACGAATCAGAGGGCGCAAAGCAAGCCCCCACTAATCGAGTGGAGAGCAGATCGCAAGATATGAACGCTATCGGACCTGAACCAAGAATAAAGCTGTTGATCGAAAGGCCAATAATTCACTCTGAAACGCCTTTGTTAGTTCATCCACGAATTACTGCTACGTATTCAAATCCTTGGCGTTGATATTTGAGACAATTCCCTTAGTACGCCCTAGAGTTTGAATTTGAGGGTCATCTAAAACACCAGTTTTAGCGTTCAACAAATACAGGAAAGCAGAAATGCTGGAAGCAATCTCCACCAGCATCTAAAGCTCTCACAAACTGTTTTCTAAAGCCAAGTTACTAATACGGTGGAGGAAATGTTATTTGTCTGCTGACAGGTGTATTATTCAGAATTTCACGTCTTGGTAATTCCTTCCGTGTCTAATATTTCTCGTAAACTCCAATGTCCCATATGCAGTTAACATGAGAGCTGTGTGCAGCCTGCCTGCTGACCAAAAGGAAAGCTTACCATCTTTAGATCAACACTCATGAGCCAGTAGTGTACAGGATATTTGATGAAGTCGGTAACTATTTTACGTCATTGTGCTCTCTCAAATGCACTAGAATTGCTTCATATATTTTGATGGTATGCAATAGAACACACGGGACTACGTTTTTGGACTATCTAAAAACCATATGCATTCTGGTGGATCATCCGAGGCCATACCCAATGACAATAAGAGGCTTGAAATGTTACACAGACATAAATTGCTTGTTTCTTGGAGTAAAGGCCAGTAAACTCCCATCGAATTTTCCTGTGCGGCCAAGCGCTTTCATGTAGTCCGGAGGCTAATAACTCAGCAATAAGTCACACAATTCTTGTTTATTGAATTGCTGAGAAAGGGGACCCAATGAAAATTTACCATCAGTTGCAAAGTCTTCATTGCTTGAAGCCCATTGGTTCAAGTTGGCATCATATACACGCTCACTGATTTCATTATCCAATGAAGTAAAACCTTTAGGTTTAAGAACTGGATGTTGTTTCACAATGTGAGTCGTATCGCAGAAATATTGCTGGGATAAGTGATCGAATACAGGTTTTTTGCTAATATCTTTCGCAATAATCACGCAAATATAACAGTCTTATGTGGTTCGTAGGTTCTAGTCAAATAATGCGAACTGCAGACCCTTAAGTTCTTTCTCGTCCATTCACGAAGTGTAACGCTAATACAATAACAGAGAATATGAATCAAGGGCAACACTGATCCTCAACAAAGGAATTATTCTCGTTCCAGTGAGAAAAATAAGACCGAACGAGTAATGTTGTTAGCGTCAAATTGGGCTGGGAAATTGATTACTGGGTAGTTTGAATAGGTGATGACTAAGCGCTAGATGGTAGGCAAAGTAAAAAAGAGAAAAATATCACATAAGATCTCCACGCCACAACGTAATTGGCACAGTGATAGCCAAACGGACGTATCGCTATCAGCTATCGATTTGACTATTCAAACAATCCAGCATTCAATTTCGCAGCTCAATTTGACGCTAATAGCAACTAATCTCTACCACGTAAACGTATGGGTCCGATAAGAGTTTACTCAAAATGAATTCTTAACCCAACACTCATTTGGTCCCGATTTTCTCACTGGAATGAGAACATGGTTAGCGGCAGGCGGTTTCGGATTTCTGATAAGGCTTTCGTCCCGATAGTTCACAAGCTACATAGCAGAGCCTAGTCCGGAAAAGCGCCCGACACGTTTCGCCCTATTGGAGCTCGTCAGTGGCGCGCATTCCCTCGGTCATGTAAGGAGGCTCGAACCCATGACCGCTAGAGGCAGATGCCAACTAGCCAGCAGCTTAAGCCACTGAGCCATGGGGGACGTTGGCTCGGCTACATAATTTGCAAACTAACTGGGATATAGCACCACCTATCTACCTGTCACTGTGGCCAGCCACAGGACGCTTGCGCCTACAGAGGGATCATGTGTGCCCATTTTTCTCTTGAGTACGAAGTACGCTTTACAGACACGTTTGACAAACGAAGTGATATTCTCCCTTTAACAAACTAGTGTATAACAGTTGCATATATAGTAAAAGGCAACAGGTTCAGTTGAAAAATTACGTTTATTTGAGTGAGACGTGGACACATCTGAAACGAAACTGCATTACATCATTGAAATCAGCATCAAAAGTCCATTTCGAGTCAATTGAAACATCTCTTGCAGCAAGAAGATGAAATAAAGTTTGAAGGATAATTAGTTCATTACAGGAGATTCGGTTGGCATTTGACAGCATCCTCAACTTCGCGCATCACATGCAAACAAATTTCATCTCGCCACGGAGCCGCAGCTACCTGGATACTGACGGGGAAACCATGGATGTCACGTTGAAGCTGATGAAACAAATGTGAAAAAATGATCATGTAGAATTAGTCAGTGCATAGCAGATAGAAGTGTGTGGGCAAACACATCGAAGCACGGAAACTGAAAATGGTCTATCGATATGAGTAAATCCAAGCCACCTTTCGATTAGTGAACTGTCTGTGACCAATGACTTGCATGATCTACTCTATACCATTTGTCGGCCAAGTTGTCGTCTTGGGCAACAGAATTAATCTGAGGGGGGCATCCAAAATGAGTCTACTCAATTAATTTGAGCCGTGCGTACGCCACTTACTCGTGCAGGTGTGTAGTTGTGCGTGTATAGTCCGTCAACATAACTGTCCACGACCAAATGGACGAGGTAAGTTACGGACTTTGGTATCTGATGGCAACAACCTGCGTTATGCATAGAAGACACTGATAAGTGTCACGAAATCCTGTGTTAGGTTCCAAGGGTAGTGTGTGACTGATGTAACACGGAACTAGCAAATTCCTCATCCTTGCTACTTGGGGATCGTGCTACTGTGCCATCGCGTTGTAACGAGATGGCGCAACCAAAAACGCAGACATCTCCAAGTAGCAAGGATGAGAAATTTGCTGGTTCCGTGTTACGTCAGGCACACACTACCCTTGGAACCTAGCACAGGATTTCGTGACACTTATCAGTGTCTACTATGCATAACGCAGGTTGTTACCATCGGATACCAAAGTCCGTAACTTGCCTCGTCCATTTGGTCGTGGACAGTTATGTTGACGGGCTATACACGCACACCTACACACCCGCACGAGTAAGTGGCGTATGCACGGCTCAAATTAATTGAGTAGACTCATTTTGGATGCCCCCTCAGATTAATTCTGTTGCCCAAGACGACAACTTGGCCGAGAAATGGTGTAGTTACGACAACTCCTTTGCCTCTGGAAAAATGCACACACTGAGATAAGTGGTAGTGTTGTACAACACGCCTACGCAGAGTCAAGAAGGTCTCGAAAGTGTCCCTTACAGCAGATTACGTTAGTAAAGGGTAACAAATCGACAAAGCACGCGAACGATAATGATTATGATGAATTTCTCAGTTCAGCATAACATTGATCGAGTGTTGTGGTGTGACAAGATTTAGATCACTGAAATCCCCTCAGACTTAGTGTTCGAGAAACGCGAAGCTTCCGGGGTTGGTCAATAAATATTCACTGAGTTCCACACTACAACCCGTTTCGGTAGCTGGTTCCGCAACACGCTTTTGCCTCCAAGCATTTGCGTTCAACTTTCGCCTTGGGATTCGGAGCTAGCAGAGAACGAATTCAGTTCAACCGGAATCATAACACATAGCAGTGGCACATAATCGTGAAGCAGGAACTGGGTCATGTATCGTTCACGAAACTTCATGAAGCGATGAGGTTATGGTGTGTGGTGTGAATCAGTCACATTCTATAGTGAGGTGTGGGCTAAATTCCTGGGCGCAAAAAACTAATAGCTTAATTAGTTGGGTTCATGATTTTGCCGATTTGATGTAATTGAGTCGGTGGGATCTGTCTTCTGGTTAGTTGGGCATGCGAACGCTCGTCCTTCTGATTGCAGCTGTTTGTCGGTAATCTGTGGGTATGGTCATGCAACTTCATTAAGCAATTGCGCAAAATGTCTAGTGATCTGAGGCAATCAAGTCCGGTTTTTCTTGTTCTCTTTGGCCTGTGCCCTTAAGGATCACTAGCCTGCCTTGTGCTCTTGAGTTCGAGGGTCCGAGCCTGCGGGCGATCCTCGAAGTACTCCATAGCGAACGCGCGACTGGTGGTGGCTGCGCAGCAACAAAGCGTCGGTATTGCGCATCGGGGTACTGTCGACGCCTTTTTGCTATTCTACACGGAACGATTCACTTGTATTGATGATGCTCCGGATACCTAAAACGTGCGACTGATCCAGAAGACGAAGTAGTTTGATCGGCTGTTAGCGAGGTGAAGTGGCTGCGTGAAATGTTTGCTTTGTGCTGTGACTTGTGAGGACTGCAGCAGTGATAACTACATTTTACAAAGAAAACAAATTCTAAGAGATGGTGTGGACTTTAGAAACGATCTATAGCTAGGAACAGTAATAAGGGGGTGGCTCTCACGGGGTCAATAAAGGTCATGTAACAAGTCTAGCAGAATGACGTGACCGAGGCAAGACATGGATTGCGCCACCAAGTCGCACTCTTCCGCACCTGCCTAATCCGTTTCTGACGCGCTTTGTTTGCATGTCAAAATTATTCCCATACAATTCGCGTCCCATCGATACTAGTTGAGCCGATATTCAAAGGATTGGGCTGATGGCCCGCCTTCAAGGTACGGGCATTCATGCGGACTGGGTAGCAGACCATTTTTAAGGCGTAACCTGAGTTTCCTCGCAAATGATATCTGCTGTCTTTTCGAATACCTGATTAAGAAATTTACCACCATGCTTAGGCCTGATATCCATACTGATTGCGTCCTGCGTTTGTCTTGGGACACGGAAGTAGCTGCGGCTAATGTCCGCACCACACTGAGTGATAACGCTGAGCCAGCGTTAGTGGAATGGTTACCGATTGACAGCCAGCTGTGCCATCCGGCATCGGAGCAACGTCGTCGTAATCTCCGCCTGTGCTGTGACCGATAGCAGCTGTGCATCGATTGGTGAGGAATTCTACCGCGGACCCCACCAGCTGAAAAATTGAATATTGTTATTGTTGATGAATTGAATGCACAAGTTGATCGCCCACTTCCTAATGTCCTTGATGAGGAGCGCTATAATAAGGAAGGTATAGTTTTGCGCAATTTGATGACCACCGTCCATTTCCTTAAATCACCAACTTCAGGTATACGATGAGACGTTCGGGCACTTGGCATTGCTTTTCAACAAGGGAAGCGTGGCCACAAGTCGAGCAGATGACAGCATTAAATGAATGGACAGCATACAAAGATTTGATACCGATTTTATCTTCCTGCTCCGATTCGGATTAAGTGCTGCATTTTGCGAACATTTGCGAGGCTGATGGATCACCGATCACTGACCTGTGTAGACGCATGGGACGCTTGGCATCCACATGCACGTTCCTTTGTTTACCCAGTACACACAATTGCACACTGTGGAGTCGCTCAAGTGAAGCTCCATGTGCGCCACTGCCTTGTGAGTCAGGTTGTTGAGTCAAAGGCTAGAGGTATTCGGAAAGTATCATCTGCCCCATTAATCACGTTGACAATACTCCCTCGTCTTGTTTTTCGCTCTACTCTATCCTCTCTTCTTCCAGGTCTACTGAGCAGGAGACTGCCAGTGACCTCACAGTCGCTGCCATTTTCCATAAAACCTACAATTTCATTTTACTTTGGTTCGTTTAAAGTCCGCAGTCTAACTCAGATCGGTCAGCAGGCAGCACTGATTCTCACTCTTTACTCTTCTGGTATTGTTGTGTGATGTGTCTCCGAAACACACAAGTTAGTAGCGTCGTGACAAATCGTCCACTTTATGGTACTGAATCTGACGACGATGGCTACACTCTTCGAATCTCTCAGCAAACATGATGAAAGCAATCTGCTCGACTAGATACCGGTGAAAAAATGCAAGTGTGCGGTTTGACTTCGAACCTCTATTGGAGTTAATAAGCAGCGTCTGAAGACGAGGTGCTTTTTCATCAACACAGTTTGAATGCAGTTCAGGTGAAATCAAAGACGATTTCTATCAACAGCTGCCATCTTTTCTTCACACAGCGAAGAATACTGATCGTGATTGTTACTGGTGACATGAATACCCAAGTGGGGCGTCTTTCACACTCGGAACAGTACCACCAGTGAGGGCGCTTTGGAGTCTATGCACGCCAAACAGACAGTGGTGATCGATTCCTGCAACTGTGCGCCGACCACAATCTTTATATTAGCAGCACTGCTTTCCAGCATAAACGGTCACACAGCGTCACCTGGCGCCCACCGAATTCCTCAACGACCTGGACCCAAATTGACCATGTTGCCAACAGCTACAGACGGCGCACATCAGTCAGTCGATTCGGAGCATGTGCCTGGATTCTGGCCATCGTCTAGTGCGCGCACGCTTGGAGATCACTCTCCTCGCTCCAAAGTAGCGCCTATGTTCTAACCTTGCCTGTAACTTGAACTCGCAATCTCAATATCATGACGAACTGGTGTATCATGTCAGTGAGGAATGAGCTTAGTGAACTGAAGGCTGGTTGGGATCGTCTCAAATGTGCCATGAAGAATGTCTTTAACGAGTGCTGTGCACCCAACTCGAACCGCCACAATGGTGAATGGATCTCTGAGGTATTGATCAATTTGATTGAAGCACAGAAACAGGTTCTGATGGGCAGTGAGTTTCAACTTGTCCGTAAATCCCTGTAATGACGTCCGACAACGAGTTTTCGAATCGATCGGGAACAATGGTGGATAACAAGGGCCCATGAGATGGAGAAAACCAGTGCTACTGGGAACAGCAGTGCTATTCCAGCTCATCCGGAACATGGGTCAGAGAAAGCCAGACAGCGAGACAATAACTGAAAAAGACGGAAGGTGATCCACCGTATATTACCGAACAAAAGCCCGTCGATGGATAGGCAAACAATAAAAGTTTACAAGATCAAATTTGTCCAGTCGTGTCTCTATATTAGCCGACCCCAGAAATATTTACCGGTAAGTACTTTTCTGTCAAGTTTTCCACAGGTTCCCGTGTATGATTCTGGATATTCTCGTACTTTTCTCGTAATGTCATCCGTCGGAAACGTCAAACGTGCAATATATCGAGAATTTTCATCACAAAACTGATGCGTATAGTTATAGGCACGCTGTCTGCCGCGCTGCGTGGACACTGTACGAAACAATGAGACTAGCGTGTGGTGTTAACAGGAGGCAGGGGCAGAGGTGTGCAATAGATTCCTGGGTGAATTTTGCATGTAACCTTTGTAAAATTGCGCAACACCCTTAGGTAAGTCGACGACTATAGCAGTGAAAAGTTGTGTAAAAATCATCCGCTTGTATTCGGTAACATACGGTGTTCTCAGCGTCATCGACTAGCCCGTTGGAAGGAACATTTTGAAGGGTAGTTCAGCAGGACTGCTGAGACTGCCGCTTGCTGAATCGCCTCAGCTAACGGGTAAAGCTGATGACATACCTCCCACTTTGGAAGAGATCCGACATGAACTGACTGCATTGAAACGAAACAAAAATCTTGGAGCAGAAGAACTTCCTCCATCTCTGCTGAAAGATGGTGGTGACTCTGTTGACTGGACTCCATTCTCTATTTAACACGATTTGGGACACTGAACAAGTGCCTTCGAACTGGCCACTGTTAAGTGTCGTGCCCATCTACAAGAAAGGTAAATGCACTTTGTGGGAAAATCATCGAGGCAGCAGCCTTGTTTCTGTTGCATCCAAGCGCATCACGGGTACCATACTCCGACGGTGTACCGGTCTCCGAAAGAACAAAATAAATGACAGCCAGGCCGGCTTCCTCCCTGGTCTTGGTTGCATTGACCATATATTTATTCTGCGTCAGGTTTTAGAACAGAGACATATATACAGAGGATAGACTATGGTGAATTTCCTTGACTTGAAAGTCATCGACCCAGTTGACAGCACCAGGTTGTGGTACTGTTTATCCAAGAAAGGCGAGCTGGTTAAAATACCTTCTATTATGCAGACTCCCGAAGCCGGGAGTCTAGAGGAAACGCTCCCCTGAGTTCCCCACCACAAGTGGGGCTCGCCAGAATAGTCTCACATATCATTTCCTCTACAACTTTGTGATCGAAATGACCAGAAGTGACTCCTTTCAGACGAAACCAGAATTGAAGTTATGCCAGACGACCAACTGACAAACATGGAGTACGCAGACGAAATACCTCTCTTTAGGTCTGACGCAGTGGCTATGCAAACACCATTGGATAGGCTGACGCGTAGTGCCGCACGCTTCCACATGGGCTTTGCACCGTCAAACCGCGCAAATTGCTGTTGCAGGACTGATCCGACACATCACCGGTTCTAGCTGTCACTCTGAAGCCACTGGAAGCGCCGGATCAGTTTATTTACCTTGATAGCTGTGTCGCCTGTGGTCATATCGATGAAGAAGTTACTTCGCGTATCAGCAAGGCCCATGTCGCTTTCCAGAGACTCAACCATCTATGGAGACGGCGGGATATCAGCCTGTCAGTGAAAGGTAGGGTGTATAACGCTGTGGTAAGGCCGGTGTTACTGTATGCACCAGAGACCTGACCAGTTCCCAGTGAAGACATTCAACGCTTAGCTGTGTTTTGTCACCGGTGCTTGCGCAGTATTGCTCCCACCAGATGGGAACATCGGGTGAGCAATGCTGAGGCCCGCCAGTTAGTTTCTGGCAAAAAGCCTTCAGGTGCCTCTCTCGACTGTTCGCCAAATCTTAATTGCTTACGCTGGATAGGGCATGTCCTCCGTATGACCGACGACCGGCTTACTCGTGTGCATTACATGCCGTGGTTGCACCAAGTTGGGCGAAACCGCGAGGTGGCAATTCTATGACGTGGCACAGAGACAGGAAGAAATTGACTGAGAGGCTTGGTCAAGCAGGTGCGTGCCGTCTTCTTGGATGGAGGCCTCGGGACGGTCCACATCAATGGTTGGAGAGCACATCAGGCATGGTGCAGTCACGCAGTCGGTGGAGGTCCGGCATTCGTTTTCTTGCATCTGGTTGTCAATGTTCGTTCCTTTATGATTAGTTTAACACACTTCCTTCTTGTCTCCTTTTTCCTTGTATTCAGCCCCACTATTTTGCCGTCATTATTTATTGTTATTCTTGCGATGTGAGTCGTGGCAACTGGATTCACCGCACTTCGGTGTTCGAGCCATAGTTGTGCAACTTAACTGAGCTGTTGTGACTTTTAACTCGAACCGCCCGTGACAGCGCAGGTCTGCCTTAAGCTTTTACACTTAAAACGATTCAAAGTTGCTGGAAAATACAGGATTCCTTCGGAGCTTTTCAATTACGGTGCGAGGTGATTGTCAATTGATTAATAGCTTCAGTCTCCACCATTTAGAGTGAAAAAATCCACCCCCCTTAGGAAAGGTCAATTATCATTCCGAGCTTGGAATGAGGATCATAATTATCAGTGAAACACCTATTCAAGCTGATGAAAGCGTAATATGTCTCTATGGTTTTCTCCTTTACATTTGCTATGTGACGCTTTCTACTTTCCCGGAGGCAACTGCTCGGGAGCATCTAGCAATCCGCAATGCTCTGCGACATCAAATTCTATGACATTTGAATAAATGCAGCTTCCGGATCCATCCGAAAATGCATCTAAGTATCGCCTTATGGATACATCGAGCAGTTATGTATTTTCAGTGATGCAACTGAACAACGTGAGCAATTAAAATGGTGGATTATCTCGTACCATAAGAAAGTATGTGCCATTATTTTACACGATTTCTGTTATTCTTCGTTCCACCGTTGGTCACGAATGGTCCGATCTCCTGAGGTGATGGATTAAAGCCTCCAAGCTAATCGTTACACCCACGCGAGACGAATCGCCACAGGCTCACTGGAGAATAAAAAAGTGTCCGTTCGAAAGAGTTAAATGGTAGAACTAGCTAGATGATATGAGTGTCCACTCTGTATGCTTTATACATGAGTTAAAGCGGTAATGTCTTAATTGCCACAGTGGAACAAGGCCAGATGGGCGATGATGACACTGTTAGGCCCAGCGATCCAATGCACTCTCATCCACTGCGCTAATATGGTCCATGTGTGTAAAGAGGCCGCCTCATATGATCGGTGGTTTATCTGACACACCCTCTTCACTTACTCTATACTCTCAGTTGTCTTGCCTGTGTTGTGACTTGAAGTTTGATCAATACACTATCCGGTGCAGTGGAGTCTTTGTTCTGGCGGCACTACGCTCCAACAACTGCGAAACATTTGGAGGGACTGTCATGCATGGAAGTAAGTCCCAGTTCACATGAACGCCTGGCCACATCTGTAATTATTATTACCGTCAAGTCCTGTGCTCCGATAAATTTAACTAAATGGATTCAGAAGGACACGAAGATAAATGCGAAACTGGGTATAAGAAAGATAATATCTGAAGGCTAATATTGTGGATTTCCTCACAATCAGTTGAAGAACTGTTACAGGCAATAGGAAAAACAACAATATCGCGTAGAGATAACGATAAGCAAACAATTGCAAGCTGGGTTGGGATCGACATCATACGCCAGCTGTCTCAAAAAAAAACGCCGCGATTCAGATAAGTTGGGACATCGCAGTGAGGGAAAATGGATAATGTATGGATAAGACTCTGAGGTTCCGTAAACGACGTCCTACCTCAAGAACTAGGGAGTTCCACTGGTATCGCGTCGAACTTCCATCAACGGAAGGCTTTAGAGCGGCCAAGTCATCTTCACACACACTAATTCCAGAAGGTAGGCATCCCGCTGGCATGTTAGCCAGGTTAAACAAATTCAGATAGGACAACATTCCAGTAAATCTGTGTTTCGGCTTCAGAGGCGGCGGAGCGGCCAAACCAAAGGCTGGGCAAATGAGAGCGTCCAGGCGGGCTTCCCGCCAATGAGAGTAAATTTGTCGACGAAAGGCCTCCACCTCTTGGGTATGCTGAAGCATACTTGGAATATCATGTACGGCAGATAACGCGCGAAGAACAACTAAGTCATCAGGGCTACCAAACTGAAATGTACAAAGTAGAACAAAGGGGAAACCGTGAATTCCAGTGAACACCTTAAGTGAAAGAAAGGATGATTAGTCTCACAATTTGACGAGTATAAAGTAAATGGCATTCGTACAACGTACTCGAATAAGGTTTTCAATTTCATGCTCGGAACCTCACATTCACTTCTATAGGGAGATTTAATGAGTGTGAGTATCGAGGTTCCAATCTAGAAAAAACTAGGTTCCCAGCCGTAAACGCTACAGTGCATACTAGAAAAGGGCGCTAAGAATACTCCGTGACTGTGTGAACGGTGTCAGTTGTGAGTAAACATTAATGTGACGCGATTAAGGAGTAAGACGAGCTGATGACCACAAATAAAGGTTTAAGTATGCAGCTGCGAAGTGGTGTCAACAGTACGCTGGTACGCAGTACTGCGCAGCCTCCAACAGTCGCGGATGTGGCAAGGGTTCTGCGAGGGTCTCCCAGTCCTTAAGCAGACTCGAACCCGCGCCCTCGGATTACAAGACAGGCTTGTGAGCCTCTAGAATGCGGGCCGGCACTAAAAGGTATGAGGTTTGAAAGATCCGTTGCACACAAATGAACTCAAATAATAAGAGTCATAATTCAAGAGAAAAGAACTCACAAACCGGGTCAACAGGTATTTCCAATAGCGAGTAATTCGCCAAGCTCGCATTAATTTCACAGTGCCAGCGATGGCTTCATCAATGGCATCGTAATGGAGCGCACGAAGCAGCGGCTGCATACCATCAGCATACACACCGGTAACGAAGAGGGAAAGCCACTGGCATCCTTTGAATGGGGGCTGCCAGGGCACTAGCTAAGTTAAAGAGGAGAAATAGATAGAAGTATTTTACAACAGAATGAAGCGTAAAACAGATGGGCGACACGTCTGTGAACACGTCAAGCATGACAGCAACATAGGGAAAGTACAAGGCATGTGTCCGGGGACGTATATTTGAAAGAATTATGTATTCAGGCTGGTTCCTACTTTAGGGGCTACTGCATAACATTTCAGTGGAAAAGCTAGCTTCAACGAGGGTAACGGGTCGATGTAAAAAGAATATACTAACGAGCATGTTCAGGTTAGTTACACTGGATGACTGTGATTCGTATTGAAACGCGTCAGAGCCAACTGCCGTCATTGGCACAACAAAGAGGCTAATGTGAATCAAACAGTATTAGTACAAATCCATCTGAAGTGGTAAGGATTTGCTGGATGAAAATTTTAACTGAAACTCTACTTGACTTCCATCAATGCTGCACTGACGATGCCACCTCGAATGGTGGCGAAACGTTCGCAATCAATCTGCTCAGCACGGCCAACACTGCAACAACTGAAAGAGACTGTATGCATGACATGCTGAGATACAAGATCAAGTTCGCTATGGAGCAGCGTTACTCTGCGGAAGCTCACGATGCAGGCATTGAGATGCTGTCTGGTGATAAGCTAGTTGATCTTGATTAAACGGACGATATTGTCTTGCTGCTTAACGATATTGAGGCACAGGCGGTACGCAGTATCGACGATTTGCTGCCGCGGAACCACCACCAGTCGCACATGGGCTGCGGATAGTACGAGGGCCAGACGGTCCTTAACCAGGCTTGAACCCGCGCTCTTGGATTATAAAGCAGGCTTGTGATCCTTAAGTCTACAGCCCGGCGGCCCTGTCAATCATGAATAATCCATGTAGAGTGGTACGCACCTTCAAAATGCAGTGTTGTTACAAGACGATAAGCCACTTGAAGATCAACTGACCTATCATAGCGAACTCATCTTTCATAAATTAACTTGGAAGCTGCATCAGCAGCGATGGGTGCATAACGACTGAAATCAGTCCACTTATTGTAAAACGCCAGAACTGTCTTCTTGAATCCGCGACATCTGTGGCGTCAGAAAAGGGTTTCTTTCAGTCTGAAATGTCGTGTTTACAAGGTCATAGTGAGGGCTGTCCTATCCTACGGGAGTGGCCACTTCGGTATGATGATCTGAAGCGCCTTCAAATGTATGATTATCGCTGCCTGCGAAGCATTGCTGTTGCGGGATGGCACCAGCATGTCCGCAATGATCATGTGCGTAGGAGAGTGCCAGGCAGTGATGATAATCAGGATAGTTCCTTAGAACAACAAATAGCGCTGTATAAGTTGCGTTGGCTTGGGCACCTGCTAAATGTGCCCGTTCACAGCTTACCGAAGAGGGCCATGTTTTGTTCCCCAGATGTGGGATGGCGTAAGGCTCGAGGTAAACGGAAGTTAACTTGGCAGCGGGACATGAAGTCAATTACGACCAAATTCGGTGCCGTTGTTCCGTCTTGCTTTCCAAGCTAGAGTTCCATTGACCCACCTTGTGTTTGACTCGAAATGTTACAGGACGTGGCTCGCAATGGGCACCAGTGGCGCGTCTGCCGCCATCTCCTAGTCGGACTGTCTGTTTAAAGTGTGTTTGGTGCTGAGTTATCTCACTAAACCCCAACGGTTTAGACTAGAAACAGATAGATACCGCTGAACTTCGACTAAAAGAGTTCCAAGTCAGTTGTGTTCAAGCTATCGCTGTCTTAATACAATCAACTAGGGTGTGTTAAAATGCAAGACGCACACTTCTGAAGTAAAGGTGGGATAGTCAACTAATAAGGAAGATGGAAACAGATGTTTTGCAATAGGTGTTTTGCAAAAGTAATAGACCAAGAAAGAAGCACTGCAGATAGGGAGAGCGAAAACCAACTACATTGCCAACATTCTCACCTCGTGCCCGCGGGCCTCCAGTTTCGCTTTGACATGCATGACCGCACGCTGGGCTGCTGGAACTGGTGTGAAGGAACCATCAGTAACGAAGTATCCTATTCTTAGAGGTACTTCGAAGGAGTGCTGAAACGAGAGCGGGAACAAAGGTGGCGAAATAAATGACTGGGAGAAATGCATGAGAGTAAGTCATTCAAAGATATCACCGCAGAAATGAGGCGCGCACAAATAAATCTCACCAGACAACTAACAATGAACAACGAGCAGATCAAACACACCAATGAGGTAGGAGAAAACCATCGTACCAAGCCCTCGGTAGCTCAGTGGTAGAGCAGCAGACCGGTAGTTCGTTGGACCGGGGTTCGATTCCCCGTCGAAGTAGATTATTGTGTGCAGTTTAATCGTGACTTCTACTTTCTACGAATAGAAAAATGATAAGATAATGGTATCGTTTGACGTTACGGATTTGTTCACATCAATCAATATGAAGCTAGCAAGGCAAGCAATGAGGACTCCACCTGAACAACACGGAGCGGCAAATACAAACCACAGAATTGATGTCAAAAATGATGGAGTTGATTGATATCTGTCGCACCACACATTTCACTTTCAACAGCCAAATGGTCAACGGGCACGCCAATCTCTGGACTAGTAGTCCAGACAATAATCCAACCACTGCCGATGGTGGTGCCCAAACACAAGGTACATTAAGTGGATGAGAACTTTGTCATCATTAAACGCTCCAGACTACGATAAACACATCAGCTACTCCAGTACCCATTACAACAAAGAGCTTGTTCGCTAACATTTGTTCTGATGTCTACTCCCGGGATATTTTATCATTTAAAGAGGAGAACATTGACCAGTTACAATTCTTGGACTTGCTCGTGACAAGACATGCTTCCGCGTCTCTAGATACATCAGTCTTTCGGAAAGCGCCGCACACCGATCAGATCTTGAAATATCGCAGTAAGCATTTACAAGTGGTTGCGTGAGGACACTATAAAAAGGGACCCACACTGTAGCACCATGCAATTATGGAAGGTGAAGAGTTTCAGCGGAATTCGTACTCTTAAGCATTTATTCTGCGTTGCTTGCTGTTGAAGAATAATGAACCACGACTCGCATCCGCAAGTGCAAAGGGAAAGGAAAACGATTTTTTTAGAACGTATATCCATCGAATTTCAGAGATGACAGAGCGGCTTTTAGTGGCCCACGAGATAAATGTTGCACGTGAAGCGACGAAAACTATTTTGAACACACTTTCAGGTAAAGAACCAAACTAAGTAAAGAAGAAGTACTGTGTGATTCGCAAAACTTTCCGCAAAAATTGTGACTCATATTTCGAGGGTAAGACAGGAAGCAAACTTGGTAAAGGACTGGCCATCCGCCGACACGATAAAAAAAAGCCAATGCCAGTACCTATGGATGCTGAGGATCAACAGTTCGATCTAGAGACAGTCAAGATACAAGAACAGCAAGAAACCGCACGGCGCGTGTGCTTATCATCATCAACAAAAACAACAAAAACAACAACAGAAGTACACCGGCCATTCGAATGGATGCCTCACTACCGTACTACTACAACGACCTACGGAAAGAAGAATAATAAGTGGGAGAAAAGAGAGACTTACCTTAATGCCCTAAGTAGACATTCACGGTCAAGGCGTCTAAACCTTGTTAACAACAAACCGTCACAAACCACTGGCTATCATGCAAAACTAAGGTGGCATCGGCGGGACAGGTCTCTTGCGGCTTTCACTGCTCCGCATCATAATCAGGAATCGCCCCAGGTGTTACTCAGCAGCAAACACACTTTAAACAGGCAGTCCGACTAGGAGATGGCAGCAGACGCGCCACTGGTGCCCATTGCAAGCCACGTCCTGTAACATTTCGAGTCAAACACAAGGTGGATCACTGGAACTCTAGTTTGGAAAGCAAGACGGAACAGCGGCACCGAATTTGGTCGTAATTGACTTGACTTCCCGTTGCCAAGTTAACTTCCGTTTACCTCGAGCCTTGTGCCATCCCACATCTGGGAAACAAAACATGGTCCTCCTCGGTAAGCTGTGAACGGGCACATTTAGCACGCGCCCAAGCCAACGAAACTTATACAGCGCTATCTGTTGTTCTAAGGAACTATCCTGATTATCATCACTGCCTGGCACTCGCCTACGCACATCATCGTTGCGGATATGCTGGTGCCATCCCGCAACAGCAATGCTACGCAGGCACGGATGATCAAAGACAAGGAACCTCAGATTCTCAGGTCGAAGGGGCTAAATTTCACTCCCATTGAGTAGGACGGCTCTCATTGTGGCTTCGTAAACACGGTCTTTCATAAGTCACAGATGCCACGATTTAAGAAGGCAATTCTGGCTTTTGTAATAAGTGAACTGATTTCAGTGGTTGTGCACCCATCGTTGCTGATGCAGCTTTAAAGGTAAGTGTTACGGAGAGCCAGCTTACTGTCAGCATTCAAGCCGAGGCGCAAGATCGGATCGATTTACAATTGGAGATCGAACTCGGGCAGAGAGGAAACGCCAACCTATGTGGGGTCAGCAGCAAGTTGAACCTTGAACTTGAACCGTTTCGAGTTGTGTTAATTGACATTAATTAGCATCTCCGATATTGATAATTGAGGATCATCATAGCCAGCTTCCGAATCAGATAGTCGTCATCATGCCCGAAAAAGCACTAGACTGCAGTTTTAGCCTGTTGGTCATCATCAGTAGTGTGCATCCATCGAATCCATCAGGATTCAAACCCATGACCACCGGGGGCTTGCACCGTCAGTCAGCAGCTTATGCCACTGGGGACAGCTTCAAACCGTCATGATTTACAAGCTAACTGTGATATAGCGCGTCTTATGCTCCACTGCCATGCAAGTTACTAACGTTGCAGAGGACGGGGTTGAGCCCGAACACACGATGTCCACTAACAGTAGCTATGTACGACACAGCATTTAGAAACTGTTAGGGCGCATATATTTTGATGTACTCATGAGTAGGGGATTTGTGATATAGATACTTGAGGTTCATCACAGCCAGCTTCCAAATCAGGTAGTCGTCCACATGCCCGATATTGATCTGTTTAGTAGTTGCCTCCAACCTATTCATTTAACTGGTTGGAGGAGGCGCAGCAAATTCAGGCAGGTTATCCGTACAGTCAGTGAAAACCCCAAAACAGTAAGTAAATTGATCAACTACCTCGTATTCCTCGCCATCAAGGGTCAAGGGATCATCAAGTGCCTGGTGGTCCTAGAACAGCACTATGCACCTTAAAGGTGCGAATCGCATGTCAAATGTTGGGACCACCTTAGAGAGAGTATACTCAGGGTAGACTAGACCGCCACAACATCGTAAACAGCAAGACAACATCGTCCGCATAATCAAACAGCATACTACCAGGGAACACCTCAACGCCTGCATCGTGAGATTCCGCAAGCGAACACTATATGATTAAGTCCACGGCGAAGTTGAACAAAAATGGGGAAACTGGACAACCGTGATCATCATCATCATCATCATACACGTTAGCTGGAGGTGGGGAACACCTTAGCTACTGTGCCGCAATATACAGAAAAAAAGAAAAAAATGCAACTGGTGCAAGCCGGCTGAGACACCGGTAACGGATGAGCATCGTTCCGGTAAGCTACCAGCCGGCTCCTGTGTAGCAAAAAAAAATTACTATGCAAAATTACATAAAATTAAATAATGAGATCGTGATTGGAGGAAGAGGCTAAGACGGATGGGGTGGGACAAAGAAACTCACAGCACGAACGCCACTGAGGTCGGCTTCTAGCCACATCAGCAAGTGTGTCCAACCAAACGTGTTCATCGTCTTTCGGAACCCAACCAGGGAGCCGAGAGGCTCTAACCGAGGCTAGCTCAGAAGTGAAGGCCTTCATTCCTCTGGACCAAGTCATCGCTTGGCCACCCCTCCTCTTCTTCCATTCACACCCCCGGCGCGCAAACAACACACATCGCGGGAGTCGGTGGGCTGGCATGCGTAACATGTGGCCCAGCCATCGGAGCTTGGTGCGTGAAATAACGGTGCTGAGCGGTTCATTTCCTTTTCCTGTGCTATAAACAAGGCGTCGAACATGCTCGTTGCTCACGCGGTGTTCCCACCAGATGTGAGCTAAATTACAAAGGCATCGGTGGTCAAATGTAACTAGCCTCTTAAGGTTCTCTGCTTTAAGCGGCCAGGTTTCACAACCGTACAATAGGGTCGAACGTACTGCTGCATTGTACACTCTACCCTTCAGGGCAAGAGTGAGGTCGCGCCGGCATCATAAATGGCGAAGGTTAGCAAAAGCGCCCCGAGCTTCTGCTATACGGTTCGTGATCTCATCTTCAATCCCACGGGCGCTGATTCAACTTCCCAGGTAGTTGAATTTTTGAACGACTTCTAGCTGATCCCCACCAAGGGTCAACGTAGGGGACGGTCCAGAACAATCTTGGAGAAACGCTTTGCACTTCGAGGGTGCGGAGCAAAGCCCGAAGTGACGGACAGCTAGTGCGAATCTGTCCAGTGCCGCTTGGCACATTTGTGAGCTGTCACAGATTAGGGCAATATCATCAGTATACTCTAAGTCAAGAAGTCGTTCTCCCGGGAGTAGCTCCACACCTTCTAAGTAGTGTCCTGTAAACGCGATTTTCATGATTACATCAACAGCGAAGTTGAAGAAGAAAGATGACAGTAGGCATCCTTGCCTCACGCCGCTGGAGATATTAAAGGACGACGACAACTTGCCCGAGCTACGCGCATATAATGCTCGGATAATATCCACATATTTCTCAGGGACACCTTTCCTAAGTAGACAGTCCCAAAGTGCATGTCTATCCACCGAATCGAATGCACCTTTGATATCGAGGAACACGACAATGGTGGGCAGCCAATATATGTGACGGTGCTCCAACAACTGACGCAAGGTGAAGATGTGGTCAATGCAGCCACGACCTCGACGAAATCCAGCTTGCTCTTCACGAATCTGGCTTTCACGAACGCCAGTCAGTCTGTGAAGAATCATGAAGGCGAGTAATTTGGAGGCGATGTAGATCAGACTGATTCCTCTATGGCTGCCGCATTCCGATCGTGAGCCTCCTATGAAAATTGGGACTATGACGGAGCGACTCCAATCGGTTGGGACAGTTTCCTGCTCCCACAGTTTAACCAGTAACTCGTGTAAATCATCCATAAGAGTAGGTCCCCCGAATTTGAAAAGGGCTGGAGGAAGACCATTAGGTCCCGCGGCTTTATTTAACTTCAACAGTTCGATCTCACGTCCGACTTCTGAGCGAGAGGGTGGATCCAAAGGGACAACCCAGGGAGCGGGGCGATCAGTGGCCGGCAAGAAATATAACCATTCCGACCGATTAAATTGCTTTTCAAAGTACTCAGCCCAACGCTCCAAGCGTTTTGATAAGTTGTGGATAGGCTGTCCACTCTCGGCACAAATTGTTTCACTAACGTTAGGCCTCCTGCTGCCCGTTTCCCGTATCACACGGAATAACTTACGATGGTTACCAAGGACAGCAGCCATTTCCATCTCTGATGCACGATGAGACCACCAGGATTCGCGGTCTCTCTTCAGGCTAGCACGGAGTTTTGCCCAGAGCTCTTTGCGAGTTTCATTGTGTTCGCTTCCAGCGGGAATATGCCGGCGAGCATCTATAAGTTCCAGAGACTGTGAAGAGACTCAATGTCCATGTTGGCGATTAGACATACCACATGAGGATTTTCCTGCTACTAGTAAGGTCTGGTGAATATGAGACCAGTGAGCTTCAATTCCATCCAGTGAGCGTTTATCCAACTCGCATGACAGCGTACTTTGATACGCATTCAGAACAGCTGGCTTCGCCAGTTGACTGGTGTCAATGCGCTCACAACCTCGTCGTGAGCGTCCGCGAAAGCGCAACCGCAGGTCAGCACATACAAGTGCATGGTCAGTGTCCACACCTGTGCTCCAAATCGAGCGACAGTTCTGGAGGCAGCCTCTCCAGCGGTAACTGATAGCAATGTGATCGATTTGCGTCCACAGCTGGTTCGAGGCTGGTGGGCGCCAAGTCACTCTCCGGCGGGTGCTGTGTCGGAAATTAGTGCTCGCAAGAACTAAGCGAGCATCCTCACACAAATGAAGCAACCGCTCACCGTTATCATTACTGGAGCCTCTACCATGTTGGCCGCCCAGATGCAGCTCATCTGTGGATAATTTTCCAACTTGAGCCTTCAGATCCCCAGCCAGCACTACAGTGTCCGAGCTTCTTCTGTGGCTAAGGAGCTCGTTCAGTTGACGATAGAAGTCGTCTTTTACGGAGTTATCGCTACAGTTTGTGGGTGCATAGGTAGCGATGATGAATAGACACCTGTTGGTCCCACTCGTTTTCGAAGCTTTGAACGAGCCGGCCAACCGGACCGCACACATCCGGCTACTGATTTGAATCCAGTCAACCAGAGCAACTACAGCCCGGGGACTCAGGGCAATGCCAACACCAGCTTGGCCGGTGCTCGAAGCTGCATCGTCACCGGATAGGCGCAATGAGAAAGTGCTGCTAGTGTCACCTGAAGAGAATCGCAAACTGGGTACAGAGCTCGAGTCTTGCAGGCGGGTCTCCGATAAGCAGCAGATATCGATCGAGAGGGTCTCTAATGTTCGGGCAAGTGCTGCCTGTTGACCGATCTGAAGCAATGTGCGAACAATGAGGCATGCCAATCTGAAGGAAGATCGAGGGCTCCAAATGGAAGCCGATGAACTCTGCTTGGTCGCTTTCTTGGACATGGGTCTGTTGACAAAATAGGAATGACGCTCCGCGTTCACATGTGAGTTGAAACTAAAAGACAAGCGACTATTGAAGCAAGGTGGGGAGTGCCGAGAATTGGGGGGTTGAAAACAGGGGGGATAAAAGTGAAGCTGGAACGGGACGATAACGGTGAAAAAGCGAGAGGGAATAAGAAGACGGGAAGGCTTGGGCAGTAGCATCCAAACCCCTATCCACCCTACCCGATGCAGCAGATAGGGCACCGTTGATTATCCTCTGCGGTGGCCAGAGCATCAGAAATTTGTTTGAAGAGAAATTCATTGTATTGTATTGTATTCATTGTATTGACAACCGTGATAAATGCCACTTGTCGGAATGGTGTCCGACAGGTCACCGTAGACGCTAAGGCGGTCTGTAGTGTTCGAGTATAAAGCACCCAAAATGGTCACATTTATTGTGGGAACGTCTTTCCGAGCAAAAGCTTCGAACAGAATGCATCGATCTAGTGAATCGAACGCACTGTTGAAGTCGAGTGGAACCGCTATTGTCAGTCCGCGGTACATGTGATGCTGCTCTAGCACCTGCCGCAGAATGAATATATGGTCTATACAGCACTGTCCTGGGCGGAAACCTGCCTGCTCTTCCCGTTCCGCAGTGAGACGACTAATGAGAATTGAGGCAAGCAATTTCGTCACCACTGGCGTTCGGCTAATACCTTAGTGGTTTCGTGTATTGCTATCATAATCGATACATTCCAGTTAGATGGGATGACATCCTCCTTCCAAACACATGATTGAACAGTGAGGTTAGTGGCCTGCGGACGACCTCACCACCATCCTTAAATAGTGCGGGTGAAAGGGAATCGGGGCCTGTAACTCGAAAGCGATTAAGGGCTGTGATCGCGTTTCGGACCTCATCCTCCGATGGACCCCCTAAACTAACCGGCCATGGCTCGTCCTGCATCACTTGAGTGTGAAGATGTCCGGGAGCATGGGGCCAAGTGAACTACTCTCGAAAGTGTTTCGCCCTACGAGCCATACGGCGCTCTTTATTGTGAGTCAGGGCATCCGCGGCGTAGCTGATTGTCTCACTAACGCCTAGTCTGCTGAGACCAGTGGTGCGGATTAGTTGGAAGAGCAAGCGAGAACTGCCTACTGCTCCCACCCCCTGCACTTCTTGAGGCCTACTGGTTCACCAGGCTTCCTTATCAGTACGTAGGCTCTGCTTTCGTTCGCGCCTAATAGTCCGTTTAGTTACATCGTGATCAGAGCCAGCAAGGAGGTTCTTTTAGATTCCAACAGGTTCACTGACCTTTCGGAGATCGATTGACTAGTGCGGTGACGATTGATCGCGCCGCAAGCAGAGGGTCTCGCTTCGTGCACCGCTGCCGAGATCCCATTCCACTGAAGTCCAATGTCATTAAGACAATAGAGCGAAAGTTCGTTACGTAGGGCATTCTGGTAGCCTTGCCTGACAGGGGACTGAGATAACTTCTTAACGATGCTTGGCATTAAAGCCAGAATTCAATTAACTAGTACCTGGAGCTAGATGGTGTCCGCGAAGCTCTGCAGATGAAGTCAGCAATATGTACCAGATCGACAGAGCGAAGACGTGATCACGGCCAACCCAACTGAGCCAATCGAAGAATAACATTCAAAGCAGAATCTAGCAGTGGCTTACGAAATTTTGTGAATCAGACCTTGATAGCCGCACTGAGCTCAGCAACGAATCACCAGCAAAAAGTGCCCCGATCAGAGGACAGAACAACCTTCACATTTTCATCCCGAGCTACAGGTGTCCGCAATAATTTCCAAACTCTCACTACCGGTAAGCACCTTGAATTAGGACTGAGTATTTTTTAGTCCAGAGGATATAGAATTTGTCACGTGATAGGATCTGCAGATAGTATTTTCGGGGTAGGTTGTGGGTGGAAACCAATAACATGGATGAAATCGGCCACACAATGTCCAGTTGACAGAAGTAAACGTGTGGTACATCGAATTGGCGAAGCTGAAGTCACAGCTGTAGATAGACAGCAAAAGATTCTCAATGGAACGAGGTGACTCGTTGGGATAGATGTGAAAATCTAAAAGCATAATGGAAAGTATCGAGATCTAGTTCGCGAGGTGTTCGCGGAGAGTTTAGCATGCGCAAATGGACGCTTGTGCAGCGGATACATACATGGTGATGCTTCATCCGCGCATGAAGCACAACCTAGTCATATTTTTCAACATCTCCCACAAAAATATACACGCTTCCATGATATTAATACAATCAGCGGTTTACAACCTATGAAATAATGAGAACTCAGTGGCAGGATGCAGATCCAAGATCATCAAGTCTGCGAACTACTTGCTTAACAAGTAGGCCAGATTCCGGAACAAGCTACGTGCCTGCACTTTGGGGTATGAATTTCGCAGTCAACGGTAAGTTTGACTATTTGGAGGACCATTTTGTGGTATACGTTGTGTGGATGAATTGTGACGCGCAATCCCAATAATGTGAACCATGATTCCCATTGAAGTGGACCTTGGTCAATCGATCAAAGATGATGAATCAGTTGGAAGTTGGGTATTTCCCGCCCGAAAACACTGCACTACAATGACGTGTTTCGATTTCATTTGATCGCATCAGATATAGATAGCGGGAATCGAACTCGGGACCATTGGGATGTTGGGTGTGACCGCTACCCCTAAGCCACTGGGTCACGACGGGCAACGCTTGGCACAAACGTTAATGACTGATAGGAGCGTCATTTAGATGTGATGAAATAAGATAAAAACGCGCCATGGAGTGCAGTGTTTCGGGCGAGCAACACCCAATTTCAATCTGAATTGACAATAAGTCACTAACTGTACAAAACATGATCAAGCCATTCGGTTGTCACATAACAACAAACCGAGCGTACGAGCAGGGTCAGGTTTTATAGAACCCAGTACTTGGTTGATCACCATAATTCCTCATGTGCATTAGCTGTTTAACAATGATCTATGTGAGAAAGTCGTTGAACGTCAGTTAACATCAACAGATTTCAGTTAACTTTTTATGTGCAATTACTGTGTTTCCAAACATCATTATCTGATATGATTTTTATTTTCCTAAATCATCTGTGATCAGCGTTCTATAGAAGCATGCACTTCCCCGAGTATGTCGACACAAGCGTATCTTGCACCGTCAAGAATCAAAATCTAATTACTCATTTATAATAAAGTGATTCACTACAGTTCCCAATCTAGTAGTGACAAATGTCTCTCGCCTGAAGAGATATCAACCCACAAATTAAGCCACATCAGGCGCACACAAGCGGAGAACCCACATCGGATACGTACTTCGTCCGAGTACTTCAACGGTGGAACGAAGTAGTCAAATTCGCGATGCAAATGCGAATTGAAGAGAGCTTTGACGACTGACATGCACGTCTCCACGTCCCGTGCAAGTGGTCCCGGCGTCGAGGTCACTACAAAGGGATTTGATAAGACCAACATAAAGCAAATGACTCCAGCCAGTCTCACTCACATGCAGGAACACGAACATTAGGGAAAAATGAGAAAGCATGCCATTGCACTCTGTGGTATGGATTCGAACAACAACTAAGAAACCATAAAACAACCTGTAGATACAAGCAAGGAAAAATAGGACCCCACGTACCCGTTGTCAAACGGTGTATCTTGAACATCCCAAGTTGACTGCAATGGATAGTGTATAATGGTGTATAACACAGTAACTTAAAATGCGAAATCCACAAAATGGAAGATATTAGCCCCACCATGATCTAATCTGAGTAGTCTGCAAAGGAAAGAGATTAGAAGGAGATCAGCAGCCTCCGTTTGAAAAGTGAACCTTAGTGCTTCGATTCAGTTATCGTTATAATATTGCTGTTCTAATTGCACAAGTCGAAAAGTGCCTAGACGTAAGCAGAAGAATTATGATGCCGAAGCCGGTGAGTTGTCTGTTCCCAGAAGATATACAGTTATTGCGCCTTCTACCACCTTGCTACAGTGGTGCCTAGTTGGAGCATAGACATGATCGCAGGGGCTAATCTAACAGGGGAGGCAACATGCAGTAGCAACATGGCTTGCATGGCTCACTTTGGCCGTGCACACCGACAGTAACTCCTCCGCGTTGCTTCTATAGTAGAGTCAAAACAGTCGAAATTCGACCTCATAACCAACCGCCATGGACAACCGTTAACGCGTGATAACTGCTGTGCCAGAGGTGTATGATGACAAAAAACATCTACAAGGTAAGCTAGGTCTCCCCTGTATTCAAAACAGTTGATCAGCGGCCATGGGGTCAAGGTTTCGAACATTCACCTGATCCTCTTCACCTGCAGATTCTGAGTAAGAAGTAAGCTGACTGCAAGATAGCAGTAGTGATGACATTCAAGCTTAGAAGAGGCCTGTGACTACACCACGGATGGATTACACATACATCTTAGACGCTCAAAAGAAGCACGTGAATAGGATCTATGAAAGCTGGGAGCATCCTCAAACTTCTACATTACGCATACCAATGGGTACATGCCAAGCAGATGCGCGCAGATCCTTCGCTAAGAAACAGCCCTTAAGCTTAGATGTCACGAAGTTATACACTCCATCAGTCTACCGGGACCCATTAACCGAGATGGTGATAACGAATGGGTAATTACCTTGCAAATAGTCGCAATGGAAAAAATCAGACTTGGCTACTGTTCAACGACTACCAATGGATTAGACTATGGGTCAGTCAACCAAAGTATCGAAGATCATCAGAAAATCAAATTGCAACAGAACTGTCGCGTTCCACTAACACGGAAGTGGAGTAATAAGTTTCCGGATACGGAAAAAGTTTTATTTTTGACAAAATAAGCACTGCATTTTTTCGAAATACTCTCCGCCAACGAATTAATGCACAGTTCCATGCGCTTAAACCATTTGGAGAAGCAGCTAGACCATATCAAAGCGAGTAAAACTTCAAGCAGCTCAATAAAAGCTTCCACTGCAATTGTTGGTGATTTGTAGCGGATTCAGTGCGTTATGCGCTTGACACTTGGGCACACACAAAAGTCACCAGTAACCAGGTTTGGACCGTAGTATGGGCGACCAACTTCCTGGATGCGTTCTCTATCCAGTAACTCCAGGACGACATGGAGCTTGTGTGCAGGTGTGTTCTCATAGTGTAGCAACTTCTCTCGTGCCCCAGCCATTGGATTACGTCTGGCTATAGCTTCCAGCACTTGTGGAAGAGGGTAGGTGGTAAACAAGTCGCCGGTGACTGTGCGTTGCCATTTGAGCGGTACAGTAGCCACATGACCTCTCTTGGCCACGAACACAGTCACCATCAACTCGGCCACACTGCGCTCACGCCGGAATTTCTGATGCGGCTCCACACCAACGGCCGTCCACTGAACCGATTGTTGATTGTTCTCTAGGTTGAAACTGTATACCCAGATCTCATCACCAATGAGAATCACCCAAACAACAATGGAACATCCACCATCAAACCTGGCAAGCATGGTGCGGCACCAATTCACCCGAACTGCTTTCAGGTCCTAACTGAGTTGATGGGATGTCCAGCGTGTGCAAACCTTTCTGAGGCCGAGGCTCTCATATTGGATGAAGCGGAATGGTCCCGATGAAATCCCGATGCCTTTCCCCAGATGTAACACAGTCACCCGCCCGTCTTCTTTCAACATTGCTTGCACAGCAGCAATGTCGTGCGCTGTGGTGCCCTCCACAAGTCGACCACACCGTGCCACATCATCCAAGGACCGCGTGCTACGCTTGAATTCCGCGGACCGCTCAAACATGATGGTTCTTGAAGGCGCTACATCCCCAAACGCAGCAAGCAATCGCTCAACACTCTGGTGCTGCTTTACATTACATTTGTAGTCATATAAAGTTATCGCCCTCCAGTGACATCGACTGAGTTCCACACCTATAATCAGAGTATAGCAACACTTGTGAGCTGTGCAGGGCTGCTGACATAGGGTCCAGTGAGTTGAGATCACGGAACAATGTTCAGAATGGATTACACGTTACATTTTTTCTTTCCAAGCTATCTACACCTAATATATACTGTGTAGCCGGAAACTTACTGCTCTGCCCTTGTACATCAGACGCAACCGTCGCTTTTCCACATGTGGTCCTGGTGACCACGTAGTGTAGTTACTAGGTCGATTTTGTTAAGGCATACACGGCCATATGCACTCAATTTACAGACAATCCGGTTTGCATCTGCACCTTTCACGTTTCGATTCCAAATAAGCTAATTGGATTACGTGCGTTTGGTTGACGGCATCTTCAAAATAATCGCGATATCACTAAAAAACGAAGCCCAATGTTCTCAAATATGTGAATTTAGCATTAATTCGCGGTAAAAACAACTTGTTGTGGTCCTGAAGAGCAGATTTTGTGAGCATCTGCTCTAGTTTACTGTGCGCAATTTATTGCAGAGCAAACACGTCGATGTCCTAGGCACACCAGCACGGTGGGCGTGACCAGGTCACGTAAAGTGTTGACAAAATTGTATCGGTAGCAGCAACACACAGACCACTCCGTATATGCCGCTAATGGGTGTCACCTCTGTGACCGGCCCTACGTGTCACCAGCATATGAGTATATTCCGCCGTATTGTTGTTGAAATCTTCCCAACTAATTGGTGCCCGTTCTATATAGTGTTCAAGTTTCTGTGCGGTGGAACACAGCGTTGGTAACTTGAACTCGGGCTATTCCTAGTCGTGCTAATAGGTGAGCTTTGCAACTGATGTCACCAAATACCACTAGTACCCCGCAGACAGTCACATTCAACCCGAAATATTTAGTTAGAGATGACCGGATACATGTTCGAAATCTTGATGTCAGGGCTGCTAGTTAACTGCTTTGGCCACTTGGACCCAGTTGATCGAATTAGCATTTTTAGAATCATTAGGGTTTGTCACACACTCTGGGGCAGTGGTCATCACCACATATGATATAGAAGTTTGCCGAAAGCCGTTATCGCTCATAAGGCACGACTGCGTAGCTAAAAAGTTAGGCGCATGTCCAAGCTCGTATTCAATACAATTATCCCTCCCGGGGTGGTGGTTACGTTATTCATGCCATCACTGGACTGAAATTCTTCGCTTGAGATCAGCAAATGCTTTTCAATTACCTGGCGTTACAATGAGTTACATGAAATGCCCTCCTGATCGTCAGCGGGCTATGCATTAAAACGTTTTTAACATAATACGCTCTCTCCGGGTTACCACATTCCTGGTATTCAATGATCCGGAAAATGCAACCTTACTCGTTTTGTACAATCTTGTCAAGTATCCCCGATGAATTTGGAAAAGAGAAGAAACTCCTCAAATAAACGACTCGCGTTGTAACAGTTCTGAAGAAGTGAAAGAAGTATAGTGATTGTTGGGTTTTGTAACGCTCGCCGAGTGTCTTGAAGTGAGACACGTAGTCTCAATTGTGGCCTCGGCTGACTTTGTAATCAGGCTGTACCATTCCGATCGCTGGGACAGTATCCGACCGAAGTGTAGGGTTTCGGTGTTGCTCTCTCTCTCTCTCTCATCACTGCACTACACGACTGACAGTTTCGTTCTTGCCTTGACTCAGTAGGCAGAGATAGTCTGATCCGAGAGTTGAACAATATATGACCGGGAGTAGCGCTTGACACAGCGGGTAGAAGTTCACTGTCGGGTTCTACTCCCGGATCAGGCAATCGCAAACTGTTGAGTCCAAACAAGGACGAAACTGTCAATCGTGGAGGACAGTGATGAGAAAGAGCAACAACGGAACACTCCATCACGAGAGAAATCGAATTGCACTGCGTCACCTGCATCACTCATGTAGGATGCAGCTAGAGTTTGATTTTGCCAATGCGACAAGGGGCATGACATACAATTTCGATCGCAACTTTCAATTCTCAAGTAAATTGGATTCATATCAGTGAAATCATTTCAAAACATACTACGCTTTACCCAAATTGGTTTATAAATATTTGTCTGGACCTTTTCCATTGGCTTGTAAGTGATACAACAGTGGCCCGCTTCAAACTGACGCGTGCATCTTTTCATGCGAACAAAACAGCCCATTCCACTTCCTTGAGTCAACATCTTCTCTAAACTAACCCATAGATGAATCATTTCCGATTTTTTTCGATTAGCTTATGATCATTGTTCTGTGTGTGACTGCACCACCACCATGATCATGCCTATGCAAGGGTGCCTTGTAATGCTGAAAATAAACTATTTATAAATTCACTAGTTATGCAACGCTGCTAGATGGATTTGTGAGAAACATGTCGGTGTTACATTTGATGACGACCGAAGGGGCATACCGTGATGCCTATGTTGGCGGCCATCTCGAAATTACGCCCCATGGAAACCAATGCCGCCGTCATTCGTTGCGAACAGTGCGTAGTCTTCCGCAGTGAGGTATAATGTTGGAAGATCCTACTAGTCGTGACAGATACGATGATACAGGGGAAAATTCACCCATTCTTTGCATTGCGACCACCACGTACTGCAAAAATTTTTCATTCACCCAAAATCAATGACCGTGCGGGAGTAGCAAACGTGACTCATACAAGTGAACAAGTCGGTTTTAAAATATGTCATATTAATCCCAAAACAAAAACATGACATGGCAATGAATACGCTGTCGTTCGCACACTGTTGACCGTCAAGTAAAGCACCTTGTTTACCGAGAATGCAGTTCTATGAAGTATGCACCAAGCCGGGCACATAGTAACACGGAGAACGAGAGGAAGAATGTTCGCCGGCAAAGTGAGCTAAGTGAGGGAATCGTTATGCCGTTCACACAAGTAGTTGGAAAAAGCATTAGGTGTACAAGTGGCTGACGGTTCAGTAGTGCTATTTTGCCGCATCAAATGCTCTAATTTACCCTTTTCTGACATGATTCCCCTATTGCTACCGGAGGATTTTACCGATTTTTTCGAGTGAGTTACAGCAAGTTTGTTGGCTGTGCTTCGGTTCTCGGATCAGAATGCACAAAAGGAGGTCCGCTGAAGCGGCCACGATAAAATCCCTACAGGAGTTAGCATGCCAAATTACTCAAACGGACATGCTAACTCATTAGCCGTGTCTATTCTGCGACGTATCCACAAGGGAATAGAAGCGTCCCAGCGCTCACATGTGAAGTCGACGTGATTAACTCCGATGAGAAAACGAAAAAAGGGCAGTTTCCAGATGACAAACCTTAAACGTCCAGGAGTAGGTTTGAAGCCGACAATATTGCACATAGCCGCGGGTAAACGAATGCTGCCACCCAAATCAGTGCCGAGACCGAAGACAGATCCACCACCTCCAATCAACGCTGCCTCACCGGAACTACTCCCGGCAGGGCTTCGATTCAAATCCAAAGGATTCCGGGTCATACCATCGATGGGGTTCGAGGAAACTACACTGAAGATGAACGCACAAAGCAACGGTATGCAAGATGAGTCATGAAAAATCCAGACGGAACGAACAGATGTGGTTGTTCACTGAGTATGAAAGGGGTGCGTATCAGGATGCGAAAATAGTATGCGAATTAATTGGTTCCAAAGCTCTTGGAGGGCCTAGTATAGTCTCAGCTAATATAGTTAGTGCTGAATACGTATTCCTGGATGAGTGAGTTTATGTGAATGTTGTAGGTATGACGTGCGCAGCCACAATAAGTATGACAAAAGCTGAAACAGGTACATTAAAATGATGTGTCGGCCGGTGCCCGAAAGGACTGGGCGTCTGCGTTGTAATCCGGCGGTCACCGGTTCAAGTTTGCGTAGGCGCGGTCTACTTTGCGGTCTACTCGGTGCACCTGTGACTGTTGGTGGTCGCGTGGCAGTGAAGCGTCGGAAGGTTGGGCCGGCGTAGTACTGATACCTTTTAAATCAAAATGGTAATACAGGGGGAAGGTCCTTCGTGTACGACCAACATTTGATTGGCATTGCATGGTCGATAACCATAATCCCGATTGCATCAATTGACAAAGATGTAAGGCTAATGTTAAGTAATGCGTGGGGTAGCAAGACCACAGCTTACAAGTGCCTGAAGCACGCAATGAACATATGTTGCGTAGCAAGTCGAAAGGCGATGACGTGATCTGAACTCAATAGTAACTATAACGAACAAGTACTCGTTGGGTGACGCGTAGAAAATCTCAAAATATACAAAAAACAGCTGGATCTAAAGTACAGAGATTATTTATGTACCGAACAAACCTTGGTTATTTAAGTTGAAAACCGACAACGTGTGCTACTAAGTTAGCTGGTTCAAGTGATAATGGAAATCACATCGCCACTTTAGATATTCAAAAAGATAAGCGATAAGAAGCGTGCAAAACGACTCGGGGTAGGACGGTTGACATGAAGCTAAACACACAAGTTCACACATTGATAGAGAGAGACGCCAAACGATGGCTGGTCAGAGGAAGCACTAAATTGTTGCAGAGCGTGCTTATCTTTGTGAACGGGTGAGAGAGAATACTATAGAATGGTGGAATGGAGAGGCAACTGAATAACCACATAGGTCAAGGCCGACGACACTTACAGTACCGCAGTAGTCGCCAATTCGTAATGATGCAGTATATCACACCAGTTGTCTCAAACAGCGCTTCTAGTGCAGGGACAATTATGTGATAACATCTACCACTAACGGTATCAATTTATTTACGACAGTACCCAGGCCTGTAGCTCAAGAGCTTAGCTGAACAAACAACGTGGGTATTTACTGGTTTTAATTGTAGCTCGCTGCTCCACACAAAAGCCAAGTTGAGTATTATGCCAATGCACCATCAAGAGCATCAATAACCCAATCGAGTTAACCATAGTCGATCTCTCAACTGAGAACGCAAGCAAGTTCATCCGTAATGCAGCCAGAATAGTTCGTGATACTTTCAGTTGACGGTTAACAGACAGCTCGTACACGCAGAGCTGAGCGATCCGTGGACGAGTCACCAAGTCTGTACGTGTCATGACAGTTGCGTATCGGCGAGTATCAACTGCCATGCGAAAAATCCGTAAGAGCTCAGTAAGCGGGGAATTCAGTGATAGTCCAAATACGTAGACTGTCAAACAACTGAAACACTGAAACCGCATGGTACTGTTATGCTAATGGGAGAACAACAGTGGTTATCAGATTTCATGGTATAAACAACTCTTGGCTACAAGGAATGTAGAATACAGAGGAACAGGTTATAGCGCAGATCTGGTCCCTCTTCATCAAACATTATCGGAGAATCAAAGTGCGTTGAAGCAGTTGCCTCAAATCACGTCGCAAATGAATAAAAAATGACGACAAGGACGGTGGGAGCAAGAAAAGATAGCGATTAAAAACATATGACACAGAGGGGTCAGGGACAGGAAGGAGAGTGAAATATCGACAGACTTCATAAATGCGCCATATCCGATAGGGAATCTAGTCGATAACGTGGCTGAACTCAAGACTTCCACCCAGGTAGATTACAAGTATCAACTATGTTCAGATCCACTGGAGCGGGTCGTTGGCGCATCAATCGAGTCTATTGGCAGCACCTTGGACACTGAAGGTGTAGAACACATATCGGCCGGTACCGCACCAACTGAAGACCTAAAAAAGCTGACATCCGCGCGCTCTACAATCGATAGTCGGCCAATCCGCAGGTCTTGCGAGAAGATGAGTCAAACCTAGTGTATGTACTTTCCTTGTCGCAGTCAACATAATGGCACTTTCCCATGGATCCCAACACGACTTTCTGCATCATCGGTACACAGCATTGGGAAAAGGGAAATTTCTCCCGTATGCCTTTGGATCTAACGGTCGTTTTGTCTTCCCATGAAGATGCTAATGTTGAAGTCGACAACTGTTACCCTCTGCATTTTAATATGAAGAAAACAAACTTGAAAAAGAATGAGAACAGAAATGCACAGCGTGTCTAGTTGGAGGGTTAAATTCGAGGTATTCCAACTGTAAAGTCCAACAGAATTGAATATGCAATCAAACTGAATTGCCTCTATTCGAGAACATGATATCACTAGCCTCAAACTATTCACTTATATCCTTACAGAAATTGCGGCACGTTTGCTTCGAACACTTCCATTAGGTAACACTTCACTCCTTCACTTCGTACTATTACCCTATCCTTCAGGGCGAAATATTTCATCTTTGACAGACTGCCGACTAGCAAACTGCTACGCTATATAGTTTCCGCAAGCCGCCACACATCTAGTGTCTGCTACTTTTCAGTACGATTGCAAGTCTAATTGTAAGTTGATTACTATCTTTAATTTGAATTGTAGCACGACGGTAACAGGAATTTGCTTTTTATGTTCTCTGCCCAGACCGTGAGTATAGTATAGATAGGTACACTAGCCTAGAGTTTTCCTATTCAGTCTCATGCGATTACATAGTCTAGCATGCGTATAATCGCTACACCAACTATTGTATGTAACTAAACAGTCTGCCCTAAATAGAGGTCGGGTAAATAGCCTTGTGTTTCGAGAACTCTTCCCAGAGACTTGGTCTCAATGATCTGACTTAACGCAGGGTGATTTGGCGAGCTGCTTTACGCCGACTAGACAGTCTGGGATAAATCTGAAACAGAGGCAGTTGCACATGTTTCTCAAGCGCATCATGTGATATGTCTGCGACCGTGGTCAATCGTGGCTAAGTTGCAGCAGGTTCGCACGCCTATGAGCAAGAGACTAGTTAGCATGAGTCTGGCGGTAATGGAGTGGTGAAAAGATTTGATTGCACCCATCATAAAGGACAACCAGCGGCTTTAGCGGGTTTCGTCAATAGATCTATACCTGCAAGGAGTAGATTGTTAACTTTCGTCGACATCTCTTCGACTTCAAATGGGAACGACAATACCAGGCTTGTTATATGTCCAACTATTAAGCTACCCGGTAAAGTGGGCTCCAGAGACGTTTGAAAAGTGCGACCGAGCGTAGCGAAATGAAGTCTTGAGTCTTGAAAGTACCGAACCTACTTAAGGTTTCGTTTCGCCGCTATTGTGGAAGACAAACTAATTAGGCAGCTCAAGGATTCAACTTAGGCGGCGAGCGAATGAATTTCAGCAACACCACTTCAGGTACTGAGCGTTTAAGCACCAACAAGTCTGTGGTTAAGAATGTATATCCACCATATTGGAGTGGATAAGGCTAAATTTGATTGAAGCTGTGAACCGCATACGCAGCAGTGAAAATGTTGAAAAAATTGGGAATCGGGGTCACTTCGCATAGTGAGTTTTCCTGTGTAGAAGGATGTCAGTTCAGTCAGACGCAATTATTGACGACATGTACCGAGCAAAAGTACCTGAGCATCGTTTGCGGTACAGTAGTCCGAGCGAACGGCACAGCACCCAATGACTTCAATACGCTGACAAGGAGGGCATCTTCTTTAGCGCAACCCGTCAGAAAGTGGGACATGCCGGCGCAAGATTCGCAGCCCTAAAGGAAGTCGTGGTACAGGGAAGAAATCCATATCGTGCCTTGTTATGCATGGTATAACAAAGAAATACAACATCCCTAATACTTTCCTTATTCTAAAGTTAATAAGATAAGCAGCATGCGAACTCAACAAGCAAACACAAGGCGGGGATCCGGAAGAATGTAGTGAAATACAAAGAATGGAAGTATAACGTCATCATTAACGACCAGTGTCACATAAGCGTAGTCCCAAATGAAATGGTAATAATCTGTCAGTGTACGTTTGGCCTATTGGTATGTATGAGTGGGTATATTCGAGATGTTAATGAGTGGTGTACATGCAATTAAAACTTTGTAAGGGTGGTTTTCCGAGGACAGCCAACAGTTTAGCTTTTTTCGGTGATACATGGTGTAACCATTTCAAGTATCCCAAACAAATTCTAACGGTCTCGTTGGGTAGATTCAGGTCGTAAATCACCCGGTTCAGGCACAGCATCTCAGGTAGAGGGATTAACAAGTTCGCTTCACGTTCACGACGAGGTGTTGGACGCGACATATATAGCAGCATCCAATATACTGTTGAGTCAGTCCCAGGTAGAGAGCTAGATCATATTGCGACACCTGAATTCATTTAGTGGCACGTAGAAGGAAAGTGTCATCCACTTAGTTTCGAAAGTAATTACAAACGTGTACTGGATCTGATGAAATTCATATAGTTCAATTAAGAGGATGAAAGTCAGGCGTTGCCCGCTTGCAGTGTGGTGTCTTCGAGACGGGCAACAACCAACATTCCTATACTTCAGATGCGGTTCCAGAAATCCAGAAGACCAAAGTGCACTTCAAAATGAATCGCGCTTAGCGCTGAGATTGCGTGTCGCAATCCGCTCCCACAACATGCGCTCCAAAATATGATCCTTACTAATTCAAATCTGAGGGCTAGCAATCTCTGTGTCCAGGGTTCAGGTCCCTAATCCGGCTTAGGACTGTTAGGTCCCGTTTGCCACTTTCTCAAAATATTCGTGTCTGTGAAACTGCAATTTTAATTCACCTACACGGCAAAGCCTAATCACATGCCACGTGATATACATCAGTGATATACACGTGGTGTGTGATTAGGCTGTGCATGTAGGTGAATGAAAAGTGCAGTCCCACAAACATGAGTGTTTTGAGAAAGTGGCAAACGGACCTAACAATACCCTCCTCCTAATGCAATATCTTTATTGCTAACTCTGTCACCGTGACGCATGCGCCCGTAGCAAGATACCATTAAAGAAAGATGTACTATGTAATTAGTTTTGCACATCCTTAAACCAGTGTTTGTGTACCGCCTGCGCTACGTATCCCGAAATATTGGCAAGCCTGACACATTCTAATGAATGACTACCTTGAACATGATACAATTACCTAACATGCATGCCTCCCTTACCTATGTTTACTCACTGTATGATGCTGAATACGTTAGTAATAACTTGTATAGTATTTTCCTCATAATATGTTAGATTTGTTAAAACTGACATAACCACGGCAGTCTGCTTGTAAACCGTCTAACCTGTTCACTAAGAGTCGTCCAAATACTGCGGAAGTATTCTAATAAGCCGGGATGCTTGGCGTCTTGATAGCGTCTTGACGAAACAATCTAGCACAAGCCACTACCGACTACAATGCTATGACAGACTACACCGCGTGCCGAGTACATGCAAGCATATGACTGACATCGCAATATCTTCGCGAACTACCAATCAACATGTGGTTGACATTGTATCAATGATCAAACTGACCATGTTAAGTGACGCGTTCTCCACGTGCTCTTTTTCGTTTATTTGAATCATGAACAAATTTGCGAAAGCCTTGTACACTTCGATCCGACAAACCTACTGGGCCGTGTCTCGCACAGCCGAAAAATAAACAAATCTATTTATTTATAACGGTTTGCTACCAAATGACAATGAGGCACCGGTAAAAGTTCCAGATGTACCACGAAACCTGTACACCTGCTAAAACAGTTCTCATACATCAATTACTTCGAAATATCTCTAATAAAGTACTAGCTTTTATTTGACTGTGATGTTACGCTGCGGTTAAAGAAGCACTTCCTGTCCACTGTATATGTTCAATCTTTCTCCTTGGTTGGGAGTCTCAAAAGTGATTACACCATCTGCGAGTTATCGACAAGGAAGGGTGTCTTTAAAATAATCTAATCCTATCACATAATTACCCGGAAGATGTTCAATGTCAAAGTTTTGGAAGCTTTCCAGAAATCTCGAAGGCATGTCTCCAGTAACCAAGAACATTGGGTGCCTCTGTCACCTGCCGCCACTGACAGCGAAGAATAAGGAAAACTTGCTGTAAACCCTAAGTTGGACGGAGAAATGAAGATGGTGTACACTACTGTGACCTCGTCTTTCTAATGAGGTCTGCCGTGTTACCATACTGTTTCTTCCTCTCTAATTTATCCTGAGGACTCAATGAGTGAAGTCCTGCGTGAAGAATTGTGATAAAGTAACCTGCGATATCGCAGGTTATAAGGCTACAAAAAACTTACCTTGACAGTAAAATTATCCTTCAGACTAACTGGGATGCCTGCGAATGGACCATCCAAGTTGATTTCAGAGAACTTTTGGGAAAGTAGAGGGAAGCGATTAGTTCAATGAGGAAAATCAGCAATGAGGAAGCGGAGTAGTAAAGAACGTAAGAGGCAATTCATGGAGATAGTTCAAGCTTATAGAAGCTGTGCGCGAAGTCCCGGTTAGCCGAAACAACACACGATTCAGCGTACTAAGATGAAATGCGCAAACGCAGAAGAACATGAGTTATTATTTTATCGTGAACAAGGCTGCGAAAAGAAAACGGTAATATATCGACTTCAGCTAAATTGCGTAGTAGCAAACTTTATCGATGCTATCCAATTAGGACCAGACTGAAGGACAAGTAAACGATTGATCATAAAACGCTGATGAACATTGATGGAAAATACAGAGAAAGTCGAAATGGCTGCCATGCGGCTCATAGGGTGCGACTTCTCAATTTCGACTATCGAAGAACCTAATCAGTAACTTGGCTTAACTAAGTGATGTTCTTCACAACCAAGCCCCTTGGACCTCCTGAACCAAATCACGCTCATTCGACGAGAAAGCAAAAGGCATTCGAATAAGTGCCGCGTGGCAGGCTTTTGATCACACTAGCAAGGTAAGGCATAGCTGACCCTCTACTCTCTTCACACTCTATTGGCAGAACTCGAGCAGTCAAGATAGATAACAACACATGCTGTCGTAGTCCTGTGACAAATGGCGTCATTCAATGGAGCTTTTTAACATTCTCGACCATGGTAGGTCTGATATCTTTGTAGATGATATAACAGTGCACACAATGGATAACTTGGACCATAAGTCCAAGTTTCGAAACGTACCAATTGACCCGAATGTCCAAAAAAGACAGTGCTGTACTTTAAAAAGGAGTTTACCCATGAAAAGAGTAATGCAATCTTATACACACGCGATAGAAATACCCAACCGCTAACATTCTTTCGTAGACCTTCTGCCTGTGGCAACCAAATAAGATGCTTAGGGCATCATTATGCCAACAACGTTAACCTTCTGAGCATGTTTAATACACAGTCGCTAAAGCCAAGAAAACAACTGCGCATTCCCTAAACTTTTTACCTTAACTAGTGCCAAAGTTGCACGCGTCCAGTGTTGGAGTATTACCGCATGGTAGTCAGCAAACCAACGCATGGCGAAACTGCGACACCGGAACATATTCAATGTCATCACAAGACATCCTAGATTCTACTCAAAGATTCACGTATTTCGGATGTTGTAAACTGCTCACGCTAGACTTGATACGGCTGCGTAGACTGAAGCTAAACCTATCATTCCATCTCGACGCAATGTATGCCCGCAACGATATTCTCATTTTTCAATCAATGTAGTGTTAGCTCGTTTCAATGTTCGCTATAGTTAGTTTCTTTACAGATAGGTATACGCGCAGAATAGACAATCATTTAACATTAAAGTACTAGGTAACATTGCATAGTTTCATACCTCCTCGAGCAAATCCCTGAAGGCCATCTCTGTATCGGGATTCCTGAACATTAGCAAGTTAGCTGAAGAGTAATAGAAACAAGGGCCTGATTAATTCTAGTGACGTACACCCTCGGACATGCTGCGTACCAGTTAACAAGCATACGTCCAACAGCCTATCTCACTTATTGTATATTTCAGAACATATCATTACAGACTAGGGTTGTATCTCTCTGCTGACAACAGAGAATAGACAAAGCTTATATCACTATAGCGGCCTTCCGCACTTACATTCAGGTAACTTATTGACTGTTCTATTTTCTTAATTTGTCCTTTGTGCAGTTAGTGCGCAGACATATTCGATGGAGCCTGGGTGCTTGGAGTCAGCGACCCAAGAGAGAGTGGCACTGAGGCACTAGGACGCATTCAGTGTCTTCCCAAGACATCCTGCTTTCAACTCAGACTCATGTACCTTGAATGTTGCAAACCGCTCCTGATAGAGCCGATATGGCTACGTAGACTGAAACGGGAAAATAATCGGAAGACTGACGACTGAAAAGCTGTGCAAACTACTTGACTGCTGTCTCGCGACCTACTTCGATTTCGACGGACAGATATATGAGGACTTGAAAGGAGCACCGATGAGATCTCCTGTATCAGGGCTGGTTGCAGTGATCGGAATGCGGAAACTTGGACAGAATGTGCTGCCCATAATCAATGCAAATTTGTTGATCCGATACGTCGATGATACATTCGTGATACTGTAATGTAGTCAAGTAGAGGTTAAATACCAGTTACTCAATAACGCCAGTGAAGACATTAATTTTTACGATGGAATCAGAGATGGAAAACCTGCTCCCATTCTTGGGTGTGTTGGTCACCAGGACGACTGACGGAGAGTTGCAAACATCGGTTTACAGGAAAGGGACACACATCGAAAGGCGTCTAAGCTACTACAGAAATCACCGGAAATGTCACAAAAGAAGCTGCGTGCGAACTCTCTTTCGTAGAAGTGAAACACATTGTAGCACAATTGAGACAAAGCGGGAAGAATAGATACATCTGTTTAGATCATTACTCCTGAACGGATATCCGCACAGTTTCGTCCGGCGATGTCTAAACAACAAAACTACGACCTCTCAGCCTGCTCAAATGACAACAGAGTAAATCATTATACCTTATTTAAGGAACACCTCCGAGATGACATCGAGATTAGTTAAACTGTACGGTCTTACAGTGGCTCACAAACCAATTGCCATTTTGAGGAGAACCCTGTCGAAACTCAACTACAGATCCGGAACCCATGAAAGACGAAATGTTGTTTACAAGATACGGTGTCAAGATTGCGATAATAACTATGTGGGTCAGACAGGAAGGCGACTGTCAACAAGAATACAAAAGAGCTTGTAAGAACCACTACGCTCTCTCCCTGGTCTCAATACATACGGGCGAAGAAGGACATCGCTTCGATTGGAACGACACAAAGGTCCTAGCACAAGGAGATACAGGAAAAGGAAAAGAATTCCTCAAAGCATGGCACTCGATAAACATGCATTTAGACATTGACTCAGTTTACCAAAATGAAGAGGATTAAAATAGCTAAAAAGATCGTCGTGGGCAGTCGAACGAGCCATCAACAACACAACCGCAACAACCAGAGCAAAACCATCTCACGGAGCGTCCGTGTCTACCAGAGAACTTGGGCAGACGGCTGGAGGTCACGGAGTACAGATCAAGGAAGTCAAGTCAAAAGTCCCTTGCTGGTCGATCACAAATCGACGACTGCATTTGACGCAGTAGCGCACTGAGGAAGTCACCTCATTTGGAGATGAAACGTTTGCAAACCAATTACGAAGTTCGGTGAACAGGTGAAACCAGGAACATAAACTGCTAGTTTGCTATTATTTGGTGCCAAGTCATCAGTAATATACCAGTACACAATAACGACACTTCGCTGCCACACAACCACAGCCAGTCGTGAGTGGGCTAAAGATACTGCGAGGGTCGCCCAGTCCTCTACGCAGATTCGAACCGGTGACATCCGGGTTCCAAGGCATACTTGTGATACTTTCGGCCTCGGGTCACAGGTACTTATAATTTTAGGGCTGATGATGAAATTCCCCCAAATCCATGGTATTTCACTATTTGCGATCTCAACATCCGAGTTGACAGAGTCAAATTGGTACATCAACAACAGTGCGTCCACAAACAAAATGTGTGAGTCTGCAAACAAACCGGAGGGGTTTTTCGATATGAGGTCATAAAAACAGAATCCATAATGGTTCACTGTAGTTCAAAACCTTTAAGAGAGTAGCAGAGGGTTATTATGTTTGTGAGATTCGTTGCAGCTAGACTAGGCCAGATAGTCATCACAGATTCGGGAAAGCGTAAGTCGAAGCTCTGGGAGACAACCCTGTCCCCTGCAAGTTCATAACATGCACTGACAGTGGAGGATGAGAAAGCGCTGTATCGCATTTGGATATCAGTCATGGCAGTCTGCCGCGGTTAACTCAGTGGCATAAGTTGTTGACTCGTGACATTTTGGGTCCGGATTCAGCGTGATCCGATGGATACGCTCTACTGACGAGTCCCAATAAGACGAAACGGCTGTCTATCACTTTCTTGGAGGTGTGGTGGCGGTCTGGTTGAGTTTAACTGCGATGAATCTTCTCAAAAGCCTTCAAGGTGGATCTGAATGACTTCGAAAGTGAAAGTAGAAGGAAAACGCGGCAGAAACAGCGGTAGTAGCTATAGATTTTGTTGTATACAGTGACCATATAACGATTGCATAAGAGTTCACCGTAGTGCGGAAACATATTTCCCAGTTAAACAATCATGGTTCAAAGTTTGACACATAAAATCAGTGGTGCAATTACAGTACACTGATTATAACTTTGATGGAACTCCGGTGTCAAGCACAAGACAAGATTGAGGACAAATTTCAAATTTCATGACAAAAAATCAGGCTCGTTGCCATGTTGTTGAAACCTGCGTCTTAGTCTTCACACCCTCTGCACTCAGGCCACAACAATCATGCCGTTTTTAACAACTTTTCCCGGCGTTCCCCACCTGACTGCGAATGCAGCATTATGCAGCTTACCGGCGTTTGTTGAATTCATATGGTCCTCGATGTTCAACTATTACCCGTGATGCAAATGGGCATCAGCAGTACACCGGTACGCAGTACCGACGCTCAGCTGCCATTGAACCAACACCAGTCGCGCGAGGGTCGCAAGCTGGAACCCGTGACCGGATTAAAAAGCAGGCGTGTGATCCCTTCGGCCATGGTTCAGCCGGGTTATCGATTAATATTAGGTCAATGCATTGCTATGAGTGTAACTGACTGATCACGCCAAATGAGGTGCGTATCGTCAAATCCAGAGTATAAATACCTGAACAGTCATGTTTCTTGGAGATTCATTTGTAGCATTTGATCAGACTAACAACCTAGATTGAGTCGTGCATGGTAAAGAAATAAACCATTCATCGGATTACTTGTAACTGATGTGGTCCATAACAGCTATTCAGGAGTAGCAGCAATGATGTGCTAGACAACAGAACAGCTGTTGTGCAACGCATACAGATCCGACTCTTTGATATTCCCACCAAAATCCTTGCATATCGCCCATAACGTTTGAATACTATGGACAATAGTAAAGTCGGCCACAAACCGTATAAAGTGCAAATCAATTATAGACTGCGATTAGTCTAATTCATAGTTACACTCCGGGTAGGGTTTTCGTCTAGACCGATGGCAGGGACGTAAGCATACACGATCAATCCATATAATAACAGTATTATTACTATAAAAACCTGATATCGTACCAAATAAATAACTTCAAACTTCACGTGACATAATTGCAAAGAGAACTTTTTGCGGCAAATCACATCGGACAATTACATTTACAAGGTAGATAAAAGTAGCGATGCGGTGTACTTAAAACACGCAGTTTCTGTTTGATGTAATGTTTTATAGACGAATTGGCGGAGTCGCTCCTAGTACCTCGCTGATATCTTTCTTTCTACGCTTGAACAGAGTCCAATTCAAAGTGTCATTGCCTCACCGGACTTCTACTGCAAGTACGTGGATGACACTTTCGTTGTTTGCGATTCAGTTGTCGATATCTTTCGTCTACTCGACAGATTCGACGCTGCACACCCAGCTCTGAAGTTCACCAATGAGATCGAAAAAGAAAAAAACGTTGGCTTTTCTAGACGTACTACTGAAGAGGTGGGAAGATGGTTACCTTGAGAGAAGTATCTTCGAAAAGCGACGTATGCCGGTCAATACACGTACCTTTCGTATTCTTACAGTACAAACGGAACATAGTCCGCTGCATATATTACCGTTCCACGAAGATTTGCAGTCCGGAGACACTTGAAGACGAGAAAGTTCGGATCCCCAAAACACTACTTTCAAATGGGTACCCTGCTTCATGCATCAAAAAGTACGCTGTGGCCCGTCAGCACCATAAACCTGTCCACTGTTCCGAAGAAGAAAGTTTCTGTAGGTTCCCTTTGAGGGAGGCATCGCTTTTGACCTAGTGAATAGGAAACTTTGTGCCGCAGTAACTGAAATCTTCCCAGCAACACATCCACACGTTCTCACAGATCAGGCAGGTTGTTGCACAACACTTGAAAGACTACCGACCAAGTCCGAATCGTATGTTGTGTATCGGGTTACTTACACCTATGGTGCTAAGTATCTCGGACATACATCCAGACGTCTGTGGAAGAGGATAGCTGAGCATTGCCCTGCATCATTACAGCGAGGCATCGTCAAGATTGTCAACAATTCCATCCTGGAGCATCTAACTCTAAGTGGACATGAAACATCTACCACTGATGCCTTCAAAGTTTTCTACAGTGCCGAAGAGATACTCTCAAGGGCTTCGAAAACGACTCCTAAGGAGAGCTGAAGCGATCGCGATCAGACTGCTGCAATCAGAGCTTCGCAAATAATGGCTACTGGTGCAAACTCTGATTCCACAGTGGCGCTGACAAAAATCATTCAGATGAAACGCTGGTGACGAGCGAATGTGCTTCACTTCTTCGGTTTATACCCCCCATTGTTCTATGGGTGAATAAGCTCTACCTGGTCAGATCAGCGTCCAACAAAGCTACAGTTGCTCGCTTCCAGAACCGATAAATTTAAATACCGATCGAATATATTGAGGCATCTTTTTCCGTTTTTATCCACGTCCATGCTTAATTTCAACAGCGCATCGCTATTTTTATCTATCTTGTAAATGTAATTGGCTGATGTGATTTGCCGCAAAAAGTTCTCTTGGCAACTTCAGAGATTTTCATAGCTTATCCACGAAGTAATTTCAATTTATGTAATCACGGAAGCGGGTTCAACTTGAGAAAGGAATGAAAGTCGCATTACAAATTACAAGGCACCGAAGATGAAGTTGATAGGGTCCGACAAGAATTACACGTACATCCGGGTGAAGAAATTCAGTAACACAATTGCAACGACGATCGACCTCAAATGCTTTATGCTGGTAGGCAAGAAGGAGTTTCTGGGGCGTTAATTCACCGGATTGCAGGGAGGTGATTAGCTCCCGATAGGTTTTCGAAGTGATGGAGACGATTTCCTCTGTAGGCTGGTGAGTTGTTGAAAGAAACGGCAAACATAAGAGAAAAGATACGAATAATTCGGGAGTACAAGATACATGTGTTTAACTGCAAAACGAATCGGCAGTAGTAAAGGATTTCAATGAGCATGAAAAGCACACTAAATCGTTGATACAAGACGAGCAAAAACAAGTAGCAAGGGAGGATGTATAAAGAAAGCTGCAGGTGAGGACCGTGTAGTTCTAGTTCAGTTGTTTGCATTTACATAATGCAGAAGTGGAGTAAAGACGACGTCCACTCAATTTCTATGGCTAAACCAAGTTTGAAATTAGTCAGAAAGGCTTAGGACGCGTGGGGTCTAGCGTAGATAGTCACATATTTCCACTAATCACTGGTGTAAATCTACTCAGTCTAGTGCAATCAAACTTCCAAAGGGCCGCCCGGATGCATTTCATTTCAGATGATCGAAGGAGCTATCAAAACTCAAAATCCCCATCCAGCCCATACCAAAACCATGCTCAGAGGTTGGTTTCTTTTATCTGGAATGTGCTTCTGGGTAACAATGAGTCTTGAAATGGTAACAACCCACGAGCTCAGCAGGATCTGACGAAAAGACGAGCGGCAACAACTAACGGTGAACAGGTTGCTATTCAGTATGAATATGCGTCGAATCGAGGTGAGCATAGTAAAGCGAACCGGATGATTGTAAGAGCACCCACATCAGCATCCGAGGTCCAAATATCTACCAGAATATACCTAGACATAAGCGGACTATTAAAGCTAGGCTAGCGCACCATCTGTAGCTATAGTATGCTGTAGTATTCCAGTAGCAAAGTGCGATACAAAGTTGGTAAATAACACGGCTGACAAGTGCATACTGTATCTCAATAGTCATGTTTGTGGTGCAAAAGAATGAGACAACGTTCAATAATGTACCGTGAAATCTAATCTGGTATATCAAGTCTAGGTGCACTTTATACGGACGTAGAATGCACCCATCGAATGTAACCACCTCGATTATTGGCCCCATGAGGATGCTATTCGTTGATGAAGTGGATGAGGAGCAAAGTATCCGTGTGAGAAATGCGCAAAAAGGCCGGAACTTAACGTGATGCGAAGGTCTGTGTGACTCAGCGATCCATTGAGCTATGCTGGGAGGTACTTTCGCACCTTCAGAGTCACTCATACCAGATTGGGCGATCGTTAGAGGCCAGACAAATTCAGCCTCCTGGTCCTCCAGGTTCCGGGTTGGAATGAAGGTGGCACCTTATTCCTTAAAACGGATTCCTTGTATCCCAACGCCAAAACTGCTGCCTGGCGGTCAGGTTTTTGAACCTAAGGCTTTGGTTGAGAACCCGTTTCGTTCGCCTGTCTAGACCTGGTCACCCTGACAGTATCCTGCCCACTCAATACCATGAATCCTCCGTCAAACAATTTCTTGATGCTCTGGCCACCGCAGAAGATAATCAACGGTGCCCTATCTGCTACATCGAGCGGGGTGGATAGGGGTTTAGATGCTACTGCTCAAGCATTCCCGTCTTCTTATTCCCCCTCTTACGCTTTTTTACTCTTACTGTCCCGTTCCAACTTCACTTATATCCCCCCAGTTTTCAACACTCCTATTCTTGGCCCTCCCCCAACATGCTTTGCTAGGCATTTATCTTCTAATTTCAACTCACATGCTAACGCGGAGCGTCACTTCTCTCCTGTCGACAAGCCCATGTAAAACCAAGCGGTCCATTCCAGTTCATCGGCTTCCATTTGGAGCCCTCGATCCTCCTTCAGATTAGCATGCCTAAATGTATGTAGATTACTACAGATCGGTCAACAGACAACACTTGCCCGAACATTGGAGACCCTCGCGATCGATATCCGCTGCTTATCAGAGACCCGCCTGCAAAACTCGAGCTGTGTGCCCACTCTGCGATCACCTTCATGTGACAGTAACAACACTATCTCATTGCGCACATCCGGTAACGATGCAGTTCCATGCACCGGCCAAGCTGGTGTTGGCATTGCCCTGAGTCCCCGAGCTGAAGCTGTTCTCGTTGATTGGAATCCAATCAGCAGCCGGATGTGTGCGGTCCGATTGGCTTGTTCGTTCAAAGCTTTGAAATCGTGTGGGACTGATAGGTGTCTATTCATCATCGCTGCCTACACGCCCACAAACTGTAGCGGTGATTCGGTAAAAAACGACTTCTACCGCCAACTGACCCAGCTCCTTCGCCACAGAAGAAGCACGGACACTGTTGTGCTGGCGGGGGATATGAACGCACAAGTTGCAAAGTTGTCCACTGATGAAATGCATCTGGGCGGTCAGCACGGTGTAGGCTCCCGTAATGATAACGGTGAGCAGTTACTTCATTTGTGTGAAGATGCTCGCTTATTTCTTGCGAGCACTAACTTCCGACACAGCATCCGCCGGAGGATGACTTGGCGCCCACCAGCCTTGGACGCAGATCGATCACATTGCTATCAGTTACCGCTGGAGAGGCTGCATCCAGAACTGTCGCTCGATTTGGAGCACATGTGTGGACACCGATCACGCACGCTGACCTGCGGATGCGATTTGGCGGATGCCCACGACGACGTTGTGAGCGCATTGACACCAGCCAACTGACAAAGTCAACTGTTCTGAATGCGTATCGAAGTACGCTGACATACGAGTTGAGTAAGCGCTCACTGGAGACAGTTGATGGTCACTCGTCACATGTTCGCCAGACCTTAGTAGCAGCAGGCAAATCCTCATATGGTATATCTAATAGTCAACATGGATATTGGGTCTCTTCGCGGTCTCTGGAATTTATCGACGCTCGCCGGCATTTCCCGGCTGGAAGTGAACACAATGAAATTCGCAAAGAGCTCTGGGCAAAACTTTTGCTAGCCTGAAGAGAGACCGCGAATCTTGGTGGTCTCATCGTGCGTCAGAGATGGAAGTGGCCGCTGCCCTCGGCAACAAGGAAACGGGCAGCAGGAGACCAGGTGTTAACGAAACTATACGTGACGAGAGTGGACAGCTTATCCACAATTTGTCAAAACGTTCGGAGCGTTGGGCTGAGCATTTAGAAAAGCAATTTATTCGACTAGAGTTGTTCGATTCTTCGCCGGAAGGTAATCGCCTTGATCCGTGAACTGTAGCTTTAGATCCACTCTCTCGCTCAGAAGTCGAACGTAAGATCGGACTGTTGAAGTCGAATAAAGCCGCGGAACCAGATGATCTTCCTACAGCCCTCTTCAAATTCGGAAGCTCAACACTTATTAATACTTCACATGAAATACTAGTGAAACTGCGGGGGCAGGAGACTGTCCCAACCGACTGGAGCCGCTTTGTTATTGTTCCCATCTTCAAAAGAGGCTTGCGTTCGGAATGCGGCAACCATAGAGGAACCAATCTGATCTCCATCACCTCCAAATTACTTGCCTCTGTGATCCTTCACAGTCTGACTGGCGCTCGTGAAAGTCAGATTCGTGAGGAACAAGCCGGGTTTCGTCGGCGTTGTGGCTGCATCGACCACATCTTCACCTTGCGTCAGTTGTTAGAGCACCGTCACACATATTGGCGGTCACCGTAGTCGTGTTCCTCGACATCAAAGGTGCCTTCGATTCGGTTGATCGATATGCCCTTTGGAATTGTCTACTCAGGAAAGGTGGGCCCGAAAAATATGTAAATACTATCCAAAAATTATATGCGCGTAGCGCCGGCAAAGTGAGGGCTTACGGCAAGCTGTCACCACCTTACAATATCTCCAACGGTGTGAGACAAGGATGCCCGCTGTCACCTTTCCTCTTCAACTTCGCTATTGACGAAGCCATGGAGATTGCATTTACAGGACATGACTTGGAAGGTGTGGAGCTACTCCCTGGAGAACGACTTCTTGACTTGGAGTATGCAGACGACATTGCCCTCATCTGTGACAGCTCCCAGACGTGCCAAGCCGCGCTGGACAGAGTAGCACAGGCTGTCAGCCGCTTCGAGCTCTGCTTTGTACCATCGAAATGCAAAGCGTTCCTCTAAGATTGGCACGGATCGCCTCCTGCGCTGACCCTAGGTGGGGATCAGCTAGAAGTCGTTCGGAAATTCAACTACCTGGGAAGTTATATCAGCGCCCTTTGGATCGGAGAAGAGATCACGAACCGTATAGCTAAAGCTCGAAGTGCCTTTGCTAAATTTCGCCACCTATGGCGTCGGCGCGATATTACTCTCGCCCTGAAGGGTAGAGTGTACAATGCGGCGGATTCTCCATGTTCAACTTGAATTCAGCGGTTGCGAAACCTGGTCCCTAAGACCGGCGGACATGAAGAGGCTAGTTACGTTCGATCATCGGTGCTTTGCAGTTTGGCTCACATCTAGTGGGAACACCGCGTGAGTAACGAGCGTGTTGGATACCCTATTTACGGCACAAGAAAAGGAACTGAACCGCTCGGCACTGTCATTTATCGCACCAGGCTCCAATGGCTCGGCCACTTGTTGCACATGCCAGTCCACCGACTTCCACGACGTGCGTTGTTTGCTCACCGGGGATGTAGATGGAAGAAGAGGAGGGGTGGCCAAGCGATGACTTGGTCGACACGAATGAAGGCCCTCACTTCTGTGCTGGCCTCGGTTGGAGTGTCACGGCTCCCTGGTTGGGTTCCAGAAGACGGTGAACACGTTTGGCTAGATACACTTGCTGACATGGCAAGGAGCCCACCTCAGTGGCGTTCCTCCTGTGAGTTTGTTTGTCCCTCCCCATCCCTTTTAGCCTTCCCTCCACCTACGGTCTCATTTCGTAGCGCAAAACATAATGGTTTTTCTGTTTGCCTAGTAGCTGGCTGGTAGCTTACCGGAACGATGCCTATCCGTTGCTGGTAGCTCAGCTGACATGCAACTGTTGTATTTATTTGCCTTTTCCTTTATGTATTGCGACACAGTAGCTGAGGTGCTTCCCAGACCTAGCTGACGTGGATAATAATAATACTACCCTCCATTGGAAGACGGCAATTGTCCAGTCACTGCGTGTGATGCGCATGTTACCCTAGTTCCAAATGATGCGTATGTTGAAGGAGTGAGGATCACTTCGGCACCAATCGTGGCTCCCATCCACATGACTTCTAGCCGCATTACTTCTGATATACACTACATCGAGTGTGTGTGTGTGTGTGTGTGCGGATGCATCTGTCAGTGTTGCAGCACAACCCACTCATGGTCCTGCTGTAGGAAGGAAGCATCCGCTGGCTGTTCGCAATACAGTAACAGGTTAATCCAGAGACAAATGCCAACAATCTCAAATACTGGCGTCCGGTGAGCATTGTTAATATCCTGAAGTTTCACCGAATGAGCAGTGATAAACTGCGCATGTCAGGAATTGATGACAGATTCGCTGATTCCGCACTGCAGTGTCAACTGAAGTTGAACCACTGGTAGGCGGAACATACCAGTTGGATGACTAGTGATCTACCAAAACTGCAGTGAAGCAAGTAAAATTAATAGCTTGCCGGTCCAGCACATAACAAACAGTGAAGAACCCGAACGGAAGTCTAACGCATATCGTGCCCCAAACGGAGATCACGATGTTGGTTTGGATGTAAAGCCAATGGAACCGTTTCAATCAATTCGCGTTTCAACGGTTGGTCCTGGAATTCAGTAATTATTCTACTTTATATGCCTACCTTGAAGGGACTTTACGTTCACAATCGCCGGGTTTAGTTCATACTTATTTTTGACAACTACAGGAATTAAGGTAACTTGATCTGTGCATGAAGTGCATCGGAGTGTAGTTGGTTGGCTGTTGCGCATTCGTAATATGAAGATGCAAAAGGTGATCAAAATCATACTGTTCCGAGTTGTTAAAGATATACGAATGACTAAATAAATAAGTGGTGCTCGTTCCTAAAGGGTGGTGCTGACTGGTACCGAGATTCTGTAATCAACTGAACAGTTGGTAGAAAAGGGGAATTTAACAAAATAATCGCATCGATTTAAAAAACGTGTGGCTTCGAAGTGTAACATCGAAAATAATGCGACGAGGTAGCCCATGAACGAATTAATAGACAGAAAACTCGGGTTCCTAGACGGGATGCTAATACTGAGAATGCTCGTAGCAGCCAGACTCTCAGTCACCTCATTTGCAAAAGCGCCGTGTGGCGGCTTCGTGCAGTTGCCGAATCTTGCCGCACGCAAACACGAATTTACTCTAAGGAGCAAACAACTTAAGCCCTGTGTTATGGGTACCATTAATACTTCAGCACAACGGGTCAGGGTTGTTGCAGCAAACACTGAACCCGAGAGTTGGTAATCAATTGAGAACACGCGAAACAATGCATGGTAGTCAGTCGTCGAGGTTCGATGAAAAGCGAGACGTCGTTGAGGGACAGCGTTAAAATGCAGAAAAGTCCGTTGAATAGGGATGGTTACGTGAATCATATGGGTGGAGTGAGAAAGTGAAAGGGCCTTCCGGTAGCAGCTTCGTCAATAGTTTATTTTTAGTTATTTTTCTTCATGAAGTAAAAATAGCTCATTTTCGTGACGGAAAGGGTTTTTTACGGCTTCCGTTAGCTTCTGCTTATCTGATGAGCATGAAGCGATGCTGCAGGTCGGTAGCACCACAAAAGTGGATGTTGTGCAGACAAGTAGCAGTAACTACTTCACAAGAGGAAAACCCTTCGGATCTGAAAGTTTAACTCAAAAGAAGCCAGTGACGTGCTTTATGCACCATAAACGGTGCTTATTCATCTGGAAGGCTAAACGAGATGGTTGCGATTGCGTCTGCTGGAGTAGCAATGATGAGAAAGATTGATGAGATTAAATATGCTAAGCGCCACTAAATGAATTGTAAATCACAATGTACTTACTAATGGGTGCTTCTCAAGATATGCGGCAAAAGCAATCTTGGAGTTTGCATTTTCCTTCTGTTTGCGAGCACGCCGTGCGGAATAACTGCGACGCACCACCATATCATGTAAGGTGGATGATAACCAATAAGTTGCATACGTTGCAGTAGCAAGACATAAGATGCTTTTTAACAGTGTGCGGTGGTTAGCGATGTGCAGCATAACTGAAAATAAGTTAAGGTCCTATTTTAGTAGGTATAGAAGAGTAAGAGAAACGTGCGAATATGCACTGTGATCAGAGCTCCACAGAAAACGCCTGAAAGTTCTGGAAATATTATGTAACCAGAAATTGAGAGTCGCAACACCGGTGAGGCACTGCTACCTGAACCGACGGTATACGTCTGGACGTATACACATATATGGATACACATAAAAATTTCAGAAAAGCTGTATATGCATCATCATTCATCACTATACACGTCAGCTAGAGGTGGGAAACACCTCAGCTACTGTGCCGCAATACATAAAGGAAAAGGCAAATAAATACAACAGTTGCATGTCAGCTGAGCTACCAGCAACGGATAGGCATCGTTCCGGTAAGCTACCAGCCAGCTACTAAGCAAAAAGAAAAACCATTATGTTTTGCGCTACGAAATGAGACCGTAGGTGGAGGGAAGGCTAAAAGGGGTGGGGAGGGACAAACAAACTCACAGGAGGAACGCCACTGAGGTGGGCTCCTTGCCATGTCAGCAAGTGTATCCAGCCAAATCTGTTCACGATTTTTGGACCCCAACATCATTCATTCATTCATTATACACGTCAGCTAGAGGTGGGAAACACCTCCACTATTGTGCCGCAATACATAAAGGAAATGGTTGGCGGCATCCGGTTTCGGATATGCCTGTCACTGTGGCAAGCCACAGGACGCCTGCGCCTACTCAGAGACCATGGGTGGCTTGCGCTGCACCACCCACAGCTCCAAGCACACACCCCATATCCAGTGTAAACTCGAAGGAATAAGACTGGGAGGCATGCGGATGGGAACTATGTTTCATCAACGGAGCCGGCCCACACTCCTTCACAGGCAAACACAACCGCACTGTATTTGGGAATCAAGCGCACACAAGGCGGTGGCTGGACCGTAGTCCGCTCCACACTGAGTGCATGGAACCACACTTTGATCCTAACACGGCCACAAGGACCGTGCACCCTGTCCCCTCCAGCAACGACCAACTGTCTCCTGAAGCCAGTATGGACGAGGTAGCGGGTAATAGACAGGTAGGCAACTTGTCAAGATGCACATCAAGCGCAGCCACACCGGGGATATCAAATAACAGCCAAACACTTGAGAGAGAGAGAGAGGGAGAGAATAACTCGATTGATGCATACGGAAACGGTGACATAAACCTTAAGTTAATGAGCACAGGAAATAAGTTGTTTACAAACGAATCCTAGATAATTTCACGAGGTGAGAAAGTATACTATACGGAAATGCCACGAACACAAAAATGTTATGGAAATCGAATACAATTGGCTTAAGCGAGGTGTGCAAGTTAATGGAATAGAGTACAGGTAGACATTTATATGAGAAAGAAAAGCATTAAGGCAAAATTGAAAACCCACCACCTGAAATAAAGAGACTTAGCATGCAAGCACGCGGTTAGTAAATCGAATGCAGCGTACCTACAAACGCTGCGCAGGTTCCGCCTATGTTCTCTGCAGAACCCGTCGTCGCTTTGGTAGTAGTCAAGAGTGGCCTCGCTCATGGATCACTAGGCCTGCCTAAGGCACTCGCGACCGCATGTTCTACAGCACCATGCGCTCGATGTCGATGGAGTACAATTCATCGGTGCTTGCCGCTTCCGCACTTGCCGCTTCTTCTCTGCATGCATGAGGGCTTTCTCCCGCACTTCAGCAACTGCCTTCGTGATTAGATCGCGCCATTGACGCCAAACAACCGCCTTCGATTCCCATGATCTGCAATCAAGGTTAGAACGTGTGAGGCTCACTTTAATCATGTCCTGGTAACGTAACTTTGGTTTCCCCACGTGCCGCTTCCCAATACTCAGCTGACCGTATAAGAGTTGTTTCGGTATCCGCGTCGAATCCATACGGCTCACATGACCGAGCCATCTCAGGTGTCTCAATAAATGTATGCAGTCCACTGCATACATCCCACTTCGGCGCAAAACTTCCGTGTCTGCAACTCTCACCCCAGCCGATCTGCAAAATTCGTCGCAGACACTGCTGCTGGAACCGCTCGAGATATCGCATATCCCGACGGTACATCGTCCACGTTTCACTGCCGTATAGAAGAACAGATAACACCATGGATTTGTACACCATCAGCTTCGTGCCAATGCTAAGCTGATGGTTGTTCCACACTCGGTACTCAAGCTTCCCGAAAGCTGCCGCTGCCGCCTTCGACACGCGAATACGCAACCTACGCGGTAACTTGACATTTTGGCGTGCCATACTGATCGAGATTTTTAGTTGAATTGACGTGGAAAACAGTGTTTGAATAAACACTTGAAACGAAATTTGACTATTGTCAAATTTCCTCTGATCCAAGATATCTTGGATCGATTAAAGCGGTTCTGGTCAAAGCGTCTTTGGCGCTTACTGGTAATTCTTCCAGTTTTTCCCAGTTTTAACCCCGTTTTGCACCCTGTTTTTTTGCCTTTTTATTGTGGTCGTTTAACTATTGCATACGTGTTATAATCACTCTGTTTTCCACTATGTCGGTCTCGCAATGCACCGAGGCTGTTGTTCCTGATGGCTCGGATTCTGAGGTTATCGCACTTTGTGGCGGACCGAGCTGCAATGTACCAGTAACTGACGATTCAGGCGGTATGCAATGCGATGTCTGCAACCGATGGTACCATCAGCTTTGTACGGAGCTAAATACCGAGCAGTACGCAGCGCTGGCCTCTAGCGAAAAGTTGCTGTTCCGTTGTGCCAATTGCTGCAGCCGCCGGCAAGGCCGCACAGCCCTTCGTACGAGAGATGAATCTCTTGATACCCGGCTGCGAAATGTAGAGCGTTCGTTCTCGATGCTCTCTGATCTTCGCTCAAAGATTGATCTGCTTATGACGACGCTTCCGGTCTCCAACAAAGCAGATTTGATCGCTTACACTGATGATCAGCTTGTGGCACCTATCATTATGTCACCGGTCCAGATGGCTACCGACCACAAAAATGAAGCAGCTTCGGACGTCGTATCTATACCTACGCTGATCGATGCCGAATTGTTGGTTCAAGGGTCACTTCGAGTTAAGCGAAGAAGAGCCAGGAAACCTCGTAAGCTCTCTGCTAAACAAGAAGTTGTCTCGGCACCGGTAACAAGCCAAGTGTCGTTACTTGGCAAACCGTCTGACGGTTGTGCGAAGGCGAAGATCACAACATGCACTACTTATCAGCCGAAGTTGCCGGAAATCTTGGTTCTCACCGAGAAGACATATTCTGAAGGTGTGCTTGATTCTGCTCAAAGCGAAAAAGCCCCACGGGACCCTACTCCTGTTATCAAGAAGAAAAAGCAGACAAAATCTGCTATAAAGCCTTCCGGTGAAATCGATGACCCTAACAAAAGTAAGACATCGACAATGGAGCGAAAAACATACGCTGCCGTTGCTACATCATCGGAGGGGCTAAAGACAGTTCCATTACCAGTAGTGAAGCCACCTGCTCCGAGTGCCGAATCAAAGACCCGTGGGGTTAATACACCCCGTCGCGGCGATTCTTTCACGGATAGTAGCGTTATATTCCGTAACGCGGCTGAATCTACTGCTGTCCTTCCCGCTGATCGCATGTTGGACGACCTTCAATGGTTTAAAATGTGCGTAACGAGGCTTCTTCCGCCTGGTTTTCCAGGCGTTACTGTCAGGAAGCTGATTAGACTGGGGAACGTCCCAGTTAACGTACCAAACCCGCGACCGCGGCTACTTCGTGCGGTACTCTCTACCCCGGAGGAACGCAATGCTCTCATGCGGTTTGCGTTTAAGCTGAAAGGTACAAACATTAGCGTTCAGCCGGACCTTCCGCTAGCCGATAGGCTGAAGCTAAGGGAGGCCATCAAGGACCTCAAAAGCAGGCGAGCGGCCGGTGAACAAGGTCTCCGGTTAGTGGGTTTTCGGGTGGTCAGCCGGCGGTCCTTTTCCGCCCTACCAGTGCCAGTACTGGTAGCGCACGACCCAGGTCTGGATCTAACGAAAAACTTCAGATAGTGCTAAGTAATGTGCGCAGCCTAAGGAACAAGGTGTACGAGTTAGGTCTGCTTGTAGATGGGTCTCATCCCGATATACTCGCATTCACTGAAACGTGGCTGTCTCAGGACATCACGGATGGTGAAGTACATCTATCGGGCTACGCACTATTTAGATGCGATCGCTCTGCTGGCCGACAGGGAGGGGGCGTCGCTCTTTATGTGAGCTGTAAACTTGACGTTTTGAAGACTTGCCTATTTCAGTCAGCAGACAAAACTGTTGAAGCTCTGTCGGCTGTTATTAGCACATCCTCGGCTCAGGTTACAGTTGTAATTGTGTATAGAAGCCCTGGGAGCGTATCCAAAGAGGTACTTGACTTCATTCGCTCCCAGTCCGCAAATAAGTGTTTGGTGATGGGCGACTTCAACCTCCCAGAGATTTGTTGGGCAGATCTTTCTTGCGACTCAGCGTCAGGCACATTCGGCGCTGATCTGCTTGAACTTACGCTCCAAGTATCTTTGCACCAGTTCACTGACCTCCCCACTAGGTATATGGACGCCCAAGTACCGTCTATCTTAGACCTTGTATTCGCTAAGTCACTCGACTTTGTTGGTGACATTACTTACGGACCTCCACTGGGTTCCAGTGATCATGTTTGTTTGCTCTTCAATTGTACTCTGTCTAGACGCTACCAGAGTACTGTTGAGTCTCGCCCGAACATATGGCAAGCAGACTATCAATCAATGAGAGCCAAGGCTTCTGGTTTCCATTGTGAGATCTCAGACGACGATACTGTCCAGGTTGCCTGGGATAAATTTAAGTCCTACCTCACAGAGGTCTCTGCTCCCTTCATACCAGTCACAAGGAGAAAGGAGGCCCGAGCACAGCCGCCCTGGATAGATCCC